GGGTGTGTGTGTGCCTGTCTGGGGTATATTGTCTGTCATTTGTTTGTCGATAAGTTTGTCGAGTTTTTGGTGTAATTTAGTGGTGTTTTCGTCCGAAAGTTTAATTGTTTTTTGCAAATCGACGATTTGCTGTGTCATGGTTAGTATTTGTTGGTATTGTCGGGTGTTTTGTTCTGTCAGTTCGTGTATTTGTTGTTTTAGCGTCTCGTTTTCATGTTTTTGTGTTTGTAACTGTTCGTATAAATCTGTTGTGGTGGTCATGTTTTTTGGTGAAGCGGAGACCCTTGAAGAGGGTCTTTCGCTGTCTGTATCGTCCGTCCTTGTAGTATATGCTCTTTTTTTTTTGAAAAAAAGGGGATTACTAGAATCTAAGAAATGGAAAAAAATCGAAAATCTCGAAAATTAGAGAGAGGAAATGAATGTAGTTTTGGATTGCTCAGGGCCGATATAGTTCACTGGAATTTTTTCAGAATTTTCTGAGCTATAAAACTTTTTGACAAAATCGAAAAATTATTGTCAAAAAAATAAAGTGCCAATATAAAACATCCAAAAGCACATTAAGGGTTTTTTGGCGAGCCAAACCACATCCCTAGATAAATGATATTATAGATAGGAAACTTGAACAGATATCGTGGTCATTAACAGCGCTAACTGTTGACACTTTCTCCAACTTCTATTGCTTTCCTTTTCTAGAAGTTATCGGTAATACAGTGAGTTAAATTACCTGTAGCCGCTAAATTTAAAATTACATAACAAATCTCACCCTACAGAGATCACTCAGAAATTGATTTTGTAAAATAATTTTCTCGTAGATAATTTTTTTTGTCACCATGAGAAAATAAGTACTTTTGATAAAAAGAATTAAAATCACTCAAGCATTAAAGACACTTTTAAATGCTGTAAAAGTCTTCCTACTTAAAATAAGAAATAATTTTGATACTGTAACTTTTTAAAAAGTTTGTTGAAAAAATTTCAAATTTCAGTACATATTTTGAAAAAAAAAGAGTGGAAATGATTATAGAGTTTCAGTGCTTCCTATATTGTATTATCTTTCACGGTGAATAAAAAAATATTACAAGTAAATAATTTTACTGAACCAATCTTTGATTAATTCTTGTAATAGAGATTTATTGTGAACTTTAAATTTTTCGTTGTGTTGATATCCATAAAAAAAAAACTACCTACCTCTGATCACGTTTTTTATTAAAAAAAACAAAAAAACAAAACATTTTATTATTAATAAAAAAATGTGATTATATGATGATCAGACATTATTATGTTATATACATAAATGTGAATGAAATATCTAATAAAACACACTAAAAACACAAATAAAACACACACCAACACTCGCCAAACCTAACCAACAATAAACATGAACAAAATGAATGACATGAAATGATTCATAATTGCAATTGTCAAAATTTATTCTACAAAATCTTTGTGGCGACATCTATAGACTCTTTCCCCAACTTGCATATCCATCTCAAGTCACGTGGTTCTCAGTTTCCCCATATTTTCAAGTATAAGTTCTCGGGCACTGACCACATCAAACCCGGTTAGCTCGAGTTTGATTGTGTTAAGAGTTTGAGTTAACATTTGACAGAACTCGCAAAAATTCTTTTAGTTTGGATATCTAATCAATAATAAAATCGTAACCTATAATCTATGATAGTGCTCGTAGCTCAAGTTGTTTGACTATTTCTTATATACTACAATTGTTATTCCTAATCTGAAATGCACATCCCTGAAATAACGTTAATGTATAGATGGTTATTAAATCAAAATGGGTTTACCTTTTCACAAATATCTATTCCCACGTAAATGTATCGTCTAAAAGGAAGTTAATAAAGATCTATACAGTGCAATATAGAATATGCATATCTACGATTAAAGTTATTTGGATCCTCGATTACTATTTTTGTATTATCAATTTTAAATATTACTTTGTATTTTTTGCAAAGTTAATCCATTATCAAATTTTTTTATTTACAACTTATACCTATCCAAACCTCTAAAAAAAACGAAGTAGTGACTAGGTACGATGGTACGAAACAGAAAATAAATAAACAAAGATAGAAATATTAACTTAATATCCAAACCAACGCACAAGTCCGGTTTGATGGTTAGGCAAACTCTGCCAAACCGGGTTAACTACATTTCTCGCCAAAACGTCAAACCTCAACAAACTATAGTTAACCGGGTTAGCGGTTTTCTCGCCAAAAAACCCTTATTGTGTATCTCGAATTCTGGAGGACCTAGAGAGGAACCGACTGCAGTTTTGGTGTGATCAAGGCCGCCATAGCCCTTTTCAATTTCAGTATTTTTCTGATCCCTAATACCATAAGAGTAACTAAATTTACTCTTATGCCTAATACTATTTGACAAAAATCGAGGCATATGTAGGAATATGCCAGTAGATGAAAACTGAAGAATTGATTATTAAAAATTTTAAATTTTAACAATAAAAACTGATTTAGGACTTCATTTTCTCAACTTTTTGTATGTTGTAGTATGAGTGAGTCCCTGGGTGACCACCCTAACGACATCCCCCCCTGCCCGCTAACCTTTTCTGTTTCAGAGACCGCCAGGATCAAGAAACGAACACAACGACACACATACACACACATACATACCCTCCTTACCTCTCCCTTCCCGCGCTAGCCTAAGGGCCACCTTAGCAAAGCGCATCCCAGGCTGCATAGCCGCACTACCCTACCCAACCATAGACATGACACCGCCCCCGGGGTTTACACAGACAAGCTGGCGAAGCAAGAAGAGCGCCAGAAGAAAGGGCCCTAGCCGGCGGGGCCCAGCCAGGACAAAAGGAGGTCCCACAAAGCGCCTACACCGGCCGCATTTGCGGTCGGGGCCCACCTACGAAGGCTGTCCAGGCCTACACGAGATGAGGCAGGATAAAGAGGGATAATCCCCCTCGATCCCAAATCATTGAGGCCAATTTCTAGCCATGGAATAATGGCGGAGTATGAGTGAGTGAAGATCTCAAGAGAGATAGAAATAGTGACTACAAGACAGATATTCAACAAAATTCAGTCTCGAAAAAAAGCCTATAGTTTTCATTAACATTGTCATTTCACTGAACACCAAATTTTCCGCTTTTGAATAAGCCACATCGTAAATTACAAATTTCTTTACACCAAAAACTTATTTGAGTTTCAAACTAACTCTATTTTATAGAAAATCTGTATTAGAATGGAGGAAAGTCTGTTATTTGTGCATTGATTCAGATTTAGACAAACTGTGTATTAAAATCTATAAAAGTGTATTGCTGGTTGCCTATTCACTATAGAGCCATTTTAAACAATATATTCGTAACCTTTATTACTTAATGTATTTTATACTTAAGGATTATCCAGTTTGAAAGAAAAAGAATTCACACTTTTCTGATTTTTAAATAAAACATAATTTATAGAATGCTTATATTCTATTATATTACATTTAATGTTAAATATTTAATTCTAATGTAACTTCATGATAACATACCAATGAAAATGTTTAGTTTACAAAAATATCTTTCATTTATATAAAATTAAATTCTTATAAAAATAAAGTTAAATGAGGAAAAGGATGCCATCGGCCAACATCACTTGGTTATCATCCGTCATTCGTTCTATAGCAGCGTGAATTTCTCCTTGCGTGAAAGGCGATGCATTGTCGCTATTAACAGACTCCCTTATACGCGAGAGAGCGAGCGACTGTGCCCTGTTTTCCCTGAAGGTCCTCTGTAAACCACTCTTAAACAAAGACAACCTGAAAAAAAAAATGTTATGACCTTTTTTGTTACAGTATGTTCGGACAATGTAAATGAAAAATGTGAAACTTTTTTGAAAGTCAATATTACGAAAATTATACAGGACGATAAAAAATGTGAGAAAATAATAATAAAAAAATAAGTCGAGTTATTTTGTACCTTTCGAGTGTAATTTCATGTGGACTGTCATCCACTTCCATGCTTTCCTCTTGGGAATGCCCGTTTAAACCATTCACTCCACTAAGCGGCAACTCCTCTGCTAACGGTTCCTCTTCCGTCGTTCTAAGTGTTTCTCCGCTTCTAGTCGAACCTTGCGTAGAACGTAATTCATCATCTGTCGCGTCCCCAACAGTAGACCTCTAAAAATTAAGAGCAGCTACACTTATTTTGTTTAATACAATATTTATACATACACGTCTGGAACGTTTTGGCCTTTGCTCGTCATCGTCATCGTCGTCTTCAGACTCATTTCCTCTCTTCCTCCTCTTCTTCTCCTTCTCCAAAACTTTCTTGAAGTAAGCAAACTGAACCAGCTCGATGGCAGCGTGCGCGTCCTCCGCAGCCACGGTTCGAGACATCCGGGCTTTCGCATGAGCAGTGGACAAACGAATCATGGTTTCCAGGGTACGGGGTGTCACGGGTTGCGTCTAGAGAAAAGGATCGATTATGCAGGTTGTTCCGATGTGTATTTTTACATGTACCGAGGTTAAAAAGTTGCAGTTCTTAAAACAGTAATTAGTTTTTTGCATCATAGATAGAATTGAGAGTCTTAGTCCCCTTTTCGCCACAATACGACCTAGCAAATTACTTATAATTTTTTTTAACAAACGTACCCTTGCGACATCATTATCCAAGACATCTTCAGACCTCAATCTGGAGTATTCATCGGAAATAATCTCAGAAGCTTCTTCCGTCAATGCCGGCTTCAATATTTTCACGAAGTGGATGTACTTTCTCATAAAATCCACGCTTAAAATTTTATCGGTACGTTTGCGGTTGGTCCCGTGCAACAGAGCGTCATATTTTTCGTACATGGGAGTTTCTTTCTTTCCCTCCTCCTCGTCAGGATTCATCGTCGACAGCATATCAACGTTCGAGCCCATCGGTAAAACTTCCCCGTCCTGTTCTAGGGGGTTCCTGAAAACTTAACGTGAACGACTTTGCTAGTTAAAAGGTAACAAAACCAACCGGTATCTGTGCATCCTTACAACGTGGTCGGATATTTTCAAGTCTTGGTCCTCATCGATGGTGTCCAGCATGACAAATAAACAATCGAAACGAGAGAGAAGGGAATCTTGAAGACCGATGTTTTCCATCGGTGTTTTATATTGATCGTACTGAAATTAAGATTGAGTAAGATTGAAAAAATTTAAAATGTTCACTTTTTTTGCCTCCAAAGAGAACGTTCTCTCCTTTACACCGCTATACACATCAAAATGTCTTACCTTGCCGTATACAGGATTAGCTGCAGCCAATACGGAACACCTAGCATTCAAACTGGCGTGGATCCCCGCTTTGGCGATAGTAACCCTTCCCTGCTCCATAACCTCGTGTATAGCTGTTCTGTCGATGTCGCTCATCTTATCGAACTCGTCTATGCAGACCACCCCTCTATCAGCCAGAACCATAGCGCCCGCTTCCAGTCTCCGTTCGCCAGTCTCCTGGTCTGTCGTGACGGCTGCGGTTAGACCAACACCAGAGGAGCCCCTACCAGTTGTCGCAATAGCCCTGGGAGCCGTGCTGAGTACATACCTATTGAAATTAAAGAAAATAATGAGTACAAGTACACAATTATTTGCTAGTGTCACATTTACCTTAAAAGCTGTGATTTGGCGACACTAGGATCTCCAATTAGTAATATGTTGATGTCGCCTCTGAGTCTTGTGCCGTTCGGCAATACTTTTTCGACGCCGCCCAAGAGAAGGCACAGAATGGCCTTTTTTATGTACTCATGGCCGTGAATTGACGGTGCTAGTGATTTTGCTAATAAATTAAAAACGTTCTTGTTGGTTTTTGCGAGATTCTTGCAACGGGAGACATCTTCTCTTGAAATTGCCGGATTTGCTTCCTTGCTTAATTGCGTAATATTATTAGCTATAACTATTGTCCTAAAAGAGATGAGAACACAAGACATTAACAAATCAATTAGGTGAAGAGAAGCTGAGTGACAAATGTGTGCCCTTGGAAAAATTGACGAAGGAAAAGCAACAAAATCTATTTAATCCAACTAATGCATTTTCACGAACCTAGTTGTGAAAGTTTACAGCAAAAGACTATAAATGAAAACTTACCTGAATGTCCCATTAGTAAAACTACCCTGCTTGTTAGGTAAGCACCTAAAGTTTCCTACAACTTGTATGCGGTCACCTGGTTTGCACATGTCTACCAAATCATTATCGCACACAATATCTACAGATCGTGGCAATTGCCCAGCAGGAGCTTTTTCTGGCATTTCTTGAATGGAAATCGTTTGATGGTCCTTGTAAGTGGACAAACCAAACTCTGTTTCCAAACTGTTCCCTTCGTCATCCTGCAATATTATCAATTTTAGCAGAAACCAGGTAAAAATTGGGAAATATTTACTTTCGTAGGATAAACTGCATATGAAGGAAATGCATCAAGTGAAGTTAAATCTGTATATTTTCTTTCCATCACTTTTTTAGTGGCGGGACAGAAATGTACGCTACGTACAACTTTTGGGTGAATGAGAGAGCCTAAAAGGTGTTTCTTAGAATTATTCATAATTAATAGTTAATATTAACTTACATTTAGTAACTATGCCTTCGACACATATCAAATTTCCAAGATATCGGGATGTCAACGTTCTTGGTGATACATGTTTATTCCCGAAGCTGCCTTCGAAGGCTATGAAGAAGTCATCCTTATCTTTTGCGTAATCTGTGGAGACAGTGAACACAAAATCCTTTAGGGCTTTTTGAAACGCAACTTGTTCTTCGAATGCATTGTTGAGTAACGCAGTAGCTCTAACAGGGTTTTTTCTTCGCAAATCGTTAATGTTGATAACTAATCTTCGACTGTTATCTGCTACCATATTTTTAACGAGTTGTGTGTATTTGCCTTGGTCTTCCTAACAAACGAATTAAGGTAAGTAACGGGCATTAGTTAAATATATTGAAACATTATTTTCTTACCCCATCATCTAGAAAATCTAGATATTCGCTTTGTATTTCACGGAGATGTTGATCAATATCTTGATCCATTTTAGGTACTTTGAAGAAAAAATAAAAGAATATAAAAAAAAAACGATATTTTAGCAATGTAACACAACCATAGAAAAAATAAAATACAAGATAGAACGAAATCTCCCTAAATAATCCACTAAACCATTACCACAGCGCCTCTGGTGATTTGGAAGCCTAACTAATGCATAATGTAGACAACCGCAGATATGTATATGTACATTTGGTTGCCTAATTTAAGTGCAGTATTTATTGTTGCCCATGGGTATTATTATTAAATATTTTTCCTTTGTATTTAAAAGTTTAAATATATATTAAAGTAAAGAAATCTACCTTGTTTAAATTGTCCATACTTTAATATATATATTTAAACTTTTAAATATAAAGGAAAAGCATAAACATACCAGAACCCCATTTGTTTAAAGGAATAAAAAAATATTTTATGAAATACAAAACAATTTATTATATAAACTAGAAATGGTTCATTACAACGGAAAGGACATATTTAATACTAAGACTTACTTATCTAAATTATTCTGAGTAAAAATATGTTATGTACTACCAATTTTCTTATATTTACATAACTTAACAAATTCATAAGATTGTTCCAACAGCTGCAGGCCATTTTCAAATTGTCGGAACTCAAAATGAAGTTATTTTATGGCCAGAGATTAATCATAAAGAATATAATTATGTCCAAGCCATGCAATCTTTATTTATTAATTAATATAATTAACTGATTGAAATAACAATTTTACGAGTACCAAGTAAAATGCAGAGAAACTACTGTTGTTTATCTACTAATATCTCTAGATATTAAATTGTATCAGCTTATATATTAACAAATCCGATAAAAAGTATTATTTCACTTCAAAATGTTAGTACTCATTATTATTAAGATAAAATGTATATTTTAAAAGATCACAACAATCAACTGCGGAAATTGACAATTCACAAACTACCTGCAACCGCAACCGTTGGAACAAACCTTATAAGTATTTTATTTATATGTGATCTTGCATACAAATCTTATAAAATAAAGATTCTATTTTAAGTGTGTACCCTCTTGCAATATAAAAAACATTTTTTATAAAGCTTTGGATATATTATCATTTCTTTTTAAATATTTTTTTCGTTTCATTAAAATATCTATTCCGGATGTGCCGGAAGTGCAACATTTTTATGATATCAGACTTTAGTACTTCTAAAATAAGTTAAAGATACCATATAACTTTGTCCCTTTCTTCGTTTGTTTTCTTTCAAAAGGATTTTATAAATGACAAATTAGCCATTTTAAAGCGCAATTTTCTCGGAAACTGACAAAGATAGGTATAGGACATAATACATATTTTAGTGTTAGTTTCTTCAGCAGAATTGAAAACAAAAATAATATACAAGGAGTTCCATATGAAATAACAAAGTTTATGGCATTTTCGGTCAAATAGGAAGTGGCGGTCAGTTGTTTTTATTAAATTTTGCATCAAATTCAATGATACGCATGCCAAAAATTTTAAATCGATATCTTTTTTCGTGCCTAAGCTAGAGCTTGGGTAGTAATCTAGTGGTCACCCGGTATATGACGTATTTATGGCTGCCTTACCTGAACATAATTTGCAATTTTTTCAAACTTTTCCCCGACAAAATCTTCAAGGCCATCAACCTCATCCAGAAATTGATTATAATGTAAATTAGGCTCAACTGACTTTTCATCAAACATTAGTACACAGAACTTATTGTCGGGTTTAATTTTTTTACTAGCTGAACTTAAAACTTTAAAAACAGCATCATGAATTCCCGAAGAAATGGGAATTCTTGACAACACTTTTTGTAAAGTTACTCTTGAAGGTAAAATAAACAAAGAGGATAGTAATTTGTATGCTGCGTTACTCTGCTTGTAAAGGGCAAGGGCAAGAAATTTATCTTCAATGTCAAATCTTCTACCTTTAGCCTTTTTGCCAAATGATTCAACCTGTCTTTTGAAAAAGTGAACTGCAGGATGGTTAAATTGTTTGGTCAAATTTTGAAAGCATTTTTCTTTTGACCATTTTTCGATAGTTTGGATTTTACGTTGTCAATCCATTTTCCGTTTGGAGAGTATGGAAGCTTTCTTCTCGTAATACAAAGCTTGCTTATACAGAATTCTGGAGACAGGAGACAGTTGTGAACTCTTATGTACACCAACATTTTTCAACAAACCATGTTCTGAAAAAACGGCAAATAAAAACTGATATTACATTAACTCATTAATATTACATACTGCGTGCTACAGGATCATTTAACCTTATTTGAGAATTTTCAGATGTCTGACGGTACTGAATTGCACCCAATTCATTATTTTCATCACCTAAAATAGAAATACAGCTAAATGTGATACTAAAATATGCTTTTTATGAAAATTAAAATACATGAATGTTGACTACTTAAACTCTGTATTCATGAAAATATACTTACCAAAATGTACAAAGGTAGAACTGGTTGATGGACCAGGATTATTTGGTGTTGACATAAATATACGGCCATCAGGTTTAATTTTGCTGTGGTTTAACTATATAACTTTTTATTTGGCAGACAATAATCAAACGTATTAACATATGACAAACGTCAAAAGTACATAAACAAGGGTCAAAATCAAAACAAAATGATACCTGCATTACCTGCGTTTGAAATCACAAAAACTAAATAGCACCATCTTACGATATGGAAGCCGAAGTTACAGTGGAATGTTAGGTATGCAAATGGTATAGGTTGTTGTATATCAGATTTCATTCTATGTTAATATTCCATTTTCTATGAACACAACCGTATGTATAATTTAAGCGGGAAAATGGAGTCTCTTCTTCTCCTTTTTAAATAGTATCCTGTATTGAATTTCACTAGATAAAATGTAAAGTCTGTTCGAACGATCTATCGAAAAATTATTTAGAGATGGAAGGTAAAAAATAAAAAAAAATACGATAAATACAAATTAAAAACATAGAAAATTTTAGAAACAATGGATAGATTCACCGTTTCTAAGCTAAGTAAATCATCGAAATATATAATCTACAGTGAAAACCTAAGCAAGCCCCCTTCTTTAAGCAAACATATAAAATTTCTAGTCATTAGAAGAAGATGAAGCCGTATTATGTTAGGTTATGAATATTTTGTGGTTATGAATGTTTGACGTCCGTTTATTAACTTTTGGCATTATTAAATAATTGTTAATTTTCTGTGTTTATTTGTGACAGTGTATTAACATCAACGATATAAAGATGCTGAGAAAAAGTTAATTTTAGAAAAGCATTTAATAATTAGAGACACCCTTACCTTGTTTTTCTTATACTACCTACCTTATTTTTTTTTCAGTAGCAAGGAAAGCGGTAAACTCTAATTATGAATGTTTTTCAGAATTGTTCAGATACTTCAGATCTTCTACCCCTATATCTTCCACAACAACTTTACTTAAAACCCATCGCAAGATTAAATATGTCTTTACAACTTCCAAATGTAAAAAAGATGGGAAAAAGTATCTCCCATTGGGAAATAATGGAGAAATTGCGAGAATTAATCAAACCAGAAGAATTTACAGTATTAAAAGTAACAAAAACTACAATAGAATTTGTTCGTTTTGAAGCAGAAGTAGATAAAAGAACAAAACTGAAACCTGTTCTGGCAAAACTAGATAATAGAATGATAAAGTTAAAAGATTTCAGTGATTTAATGAGAATTCGGGCAGCAGAATGGAAATCCGATTTTCCAAATCGTCACGTGTGGGACGATTTCTTCCAAAGTAATAAGGAAATGGATGAAATGCGACCTGGTGAACGTCCAGACACAGTTCATCTTTCTAATTTGCCCTCAAAATGGTTTTTACAGTATCACTTATCAAATGAAGAAGACATCATACCATCTGAGAAAATCTTTTATCGAGTGTTTGAAAAATTTGGGACTATCCGTTACGTAGATATACCAGTATGTGATCCGTATAGAAAAAAGATGAAAGACCATATATCTGGACTTAAATACTCTTCACTTGACAAGACTGACTTTTTTGAGGGTTACGTCCAGTTTAAGGATTATATTGGGTTCACTAAAACCATGGATGCCTTTCGTGATATGAAATTAGTGCATAAGAATGACGAAGGCATTTTTGAAGTAAATATTAAGGTGGACTTTGATAAATCGAAGCATTTAAGTGATGCTTCAATTAGAAGGAGAGAAATTGTGAGAGATAGATTAGTGAAGAAAGCAAGAGAGAAAGAGGAAAAAGAGAAGGCCGAGTACGAAGAAAAGAAACGAAAGGAACACATAGAAATGTATATGCTTTAATAACGTTAATACGGCTTGTCATAATGATTGTTCGTTTTTAGACAAAGAGAAAAAGAAGTAAAACAGCAGAAAGAACAAAGGAGGAAGCTGAGGGAAGAGAAACGAAAAGCAAAAATTTTGGAAAAGTTGGAGGTATCTGGAACTGACGAAATTAACGCCAAAATTGCCAAGGAAGAAAAGAAACTCCTGAAGGTTCAAAGGAAGTTGGAAGCTATTAGGCTGGTGGAGGAGTTATTTAGCAGGATTAAAGTTTGTAACCTGCTTTTTGTAAATACATCTTTAAAAGGTAATGTAATGTCTCTTCTAGGAAAAACACGTGGACAATGAACGGAATGATAAGCTTCGAATAACGACTAACGAGGAGGTGTGTATAATTTTTTTTCAATTTAATTGGGCAATATGTGTTAAACATTATTTCAAATATCGTTATATGTATACCATTCACTGTAATTTAAATTTTGTTATCTGAAGACCTAATAAACGGGACAAAAAGAGGACAACAGGTCCACAACCATTCATATTTTTTTATGTAGTATGTAAGAGGGGGGCAGTTCCAGAGATTCTAAATAAGTTTTGAACATTTTTAATTACTGATAATGCTTATTGTTAATACATTCTATCTACCATAAAAAATCCTCCCCAAATTGTAAACACTATAATATACAGGGTGTCTCATAATTAGCTGCCAACCCTGAACAAGCCGATTCTATGATCAAAACTAAGTAAAAAAGTTCATATGAACATGGGTCCGGAAATGCTTCCTAAGGGCACAGGGACCCGTTGAAGAGGGAGGAATGGAAATCATTTTTTTGCAATATCTCTCAATCGCGTTGTGATAAATGAATGAAATTAGGTATACACAGCTAAATTTTGATGAGCAATTTGATGGAATCCATTTATTTCCACAAGAACCATTGGGGTGGGTACGGGGGGGCCCTTGGTACTTTGCGTGTGTAACTTTTTCATCTTTGACTTTTTAACAAATTGGACAGCAAATTCCGTTTTCCCGAACTGTTTTACGTTAAAAAGGTACTCTTGTTTCAAATCGTTATCTTTAACGGTTTCTGAGAAAATCGCTCTTGAATTAATCCCACTTTGGTCAATTTCATAGTAATTTAAACAAAATTATCAAGGTATTCTTATGTCAAAGTATTGTCAACCCGATTGCCAATTTAATAGTTCTAAGCGAAAAAAATGGAAGAGTTTACGGGACAAGAGTTAGTTGATATGATATTTATTTATGGCTTTTGCGATGGTAATGCTGCAGCGGCAGAACGCGAGTACGGGAGAAGGTTTCCAAACCGAAGGCTGCCATCAAGGAGGACATTCCCTACGGTATTCCGCAACTTAGCTGCAACCGCCACTTTTCGAAAGGCACCGGGTCAAGGACGTCCCAGGATTAATAGGGAAGCGGAGGTCCTTGACGCTATTGAACAAGATCCTACGACTAGCATACGGAACATTTCAAGGCAAATAAATGTTCCTCGGCCAACGGTACTACATATCTTAAAGATTTCCTTAACAGAATTGATTAGATGTGCTACTAACATTTCAGGTTGGAAGAATATTAAAGCGACAAGGTCTACATGCCTATCACTATCGACGTGTACATGGCTTGATACCAGAAGATTTTGCGCCACGTATGCAATTTTGTCGCTGGATTTTGTCGCTGGACAACGAGCAAGCTTCCAAAATTTTGTGGTGTGACGAAGCTACTTTTACCCGAAATGGAAAATTAAATTTTCATAATTCTCATTATTGGGAAGAAGAGAACCCACATGTTGTTCGGAGAACAAACTTCCAGCAACGGTTTTCCATAAATTTATGGGCGGGAATAATTCACGACACTCTGATTGGACCTATTGAAATTCCACAACGTCTCAATTCAAATCTTTATTTAAACTTACTTCAAGAAAATCTTCCCCAAATTCTCGATGATCTGCCTCTAAATTTACGACGTAACATGTTTTTTCAACACGATGGAGCCCCGGCACATAGTGGTCGCAATGTTCTAAATTTCCTAAACGAAAATTTCGCTGGACGGTGGATAGGGAGGCACGGACCGGTAGCTTGGCCGCCGCGTTCTCCCGACCTAACCCCGCTGGACTTCTTTTTCTGGGGATATCTAAATCAAAAAGTTTACGCCACCGAAGTCGATACCCGTGAGGAATTGCTGCAGCGTATCAATGATGCAGCCAATGAAATTCGTCAAAACCGTTTTAGCATCTTAATAGCTTCGAGAAGTGTTACACGTAGGGCAAGACTTTGTATCAGAGAAGGTGGAGGGTTTTTTGAACAGTTTTTAAAATAGCTTGTTGTCTGTTATCAAAATTAAGTTTCCATCTTATGATCCCTTCGAAAAGTGACGGTTGCAGCTAAATTGCGGAATACAGTGAGGAATGTCCTCCTTGATGTCAGCCTTCTGTTTGGAAACCTTCTGCCGTACTCGCGTTCTGCCGCGCAGCATTACCATCGCAAAAGCCATAAACAAATCATCATATCATAATTGTTCTACATCAATAATGTGTATTACTGATTACGTATTAAATTATTATTATTATTTTTTGTTTAAATTACTATGAAATTGACCAAAGTGGGATTAATTCAAGAGCGATTTTCTCAGAAACCGTTAAAGATAACGATTTGAAACAAGAGTACCTTTTTAACGTAAAACAGTTCGGGAAAACGGAATTTGCTGTCCAATTTGTTAAAAAGTCAAAGATGAAAAAGTTACACACGCAAAGTACCAAGGGCCCCCCCGTACCCACCCCAATGGACCTTGTGGAAATAAATGGATTAGTCCATCAAATTGCTCATCAAAATTTAGCTGTGTATACCAAATTTCATTCATTTATCACAACGCGATTGAGAGATATTGCAAAAAAATGATTTCCATTCCTCCCTCTTCAATGGGTCCCTGTGCCCTTAGGAAGCATTTCCGGACCCATGTTCATATGAACTTTTTTACTTAGTTTTGATCATAGAATCGACCTGTTCAGGGTTGGCAGCTAATTATGAGACACCCTGTATAGAATGATCATAAACCAACGGGCAAGGGTAGTTTCTTTGAGATAAAATAAACAGACTTAGATCGATTATTATCTTAGTAAAATTTTGATTTTCTTAAAAAATTTTCCATAAATGATATTTATTTTTTTTTTTAAGATCATTCTTTAAAATATAAGGATTATAAGATCTTAAATTGTATTTTGCTTGGTATTTTGTTGTACCTCTTTCTTTTGTTGGTAGAGATTTTGAGACAACAGACGTTTCTTCAAGTGCACTTTATTTCAGGGATGTATTTTCCTAAGGGCGTAGGATGTCCAGAGGCCCCAAAAGGATTTTTTAAATTGCGAGATCCTTATTCATTCGATATGGAAAAAAGGGGAAGTCAAAAGACAATGTGTACGTTCGGAAGTTTCGGAGTGAATGGTATTTGGAGTATAAGTGGTTGTGTGGAAGTGTTTTTTTAAAAAAACTTTTCTGTATGCGTGTTTAATTGTGGGTGTAAAGTCGGGCGTGTGGAGTAAGGAGGGATTTAAGAATTTTGGGAACGTCGCGAGAGGCTGTCGTAACTATGAAGTTTCTTTGGAACATACATATACGGCGTGCGTTAATGTTCGCAGAAGTCCACAAGCTGAACTAATTTTTCTATTTTTTATAAAATTTAAATGAAAATCCTCACAAACGTCAGTTTTTTGGTAATATGTATAGCAAATGCAACTAAAAATTTCCAGATTCATTTAAAGCCGTTTGACCTTGAAAATTTTCACCTGTGGCACTTTTTTTTCTCTGGTCAATCAATGAATATGCTTCATCTATTCTCAATGTCACGAGCCGCCACTGGATTATGGTTACAAATTTAGAAAAATTCTAGATTGATGATGGTCTGAAATAGATTTATCACATCGTATATCATCATGAAAAGCAAGTTACAATGGTTGCGTTTTTTCTAGGTTGGCCATCAATTTGCAGTCGTTGGCTGACACATTCTAGATTTTTTATAGGTTTATGATTATAATACTTTATCAATCTATAATCTTTTGGGTTAAGATATTTTTAGTAACTTCTATGATTCGAATAACAAATAAGCTTATGTTCATCTCAACTGCCATAAAAGAACTCCTATTCCAAGTTTCATTTAAATACTTAAAAAAATTTGAAATGTGATTTAAAAATGAAACGAAAAAAAAAATCACTTAATTTTTCAAGAAACCAAAATTGAGCAAAGCTAACTTGATCTAAACCAGTTTATTTTCATCCAATGGAATACAGTATATCCTATTTGGACACATGGCACAATGCAAATAGAAAGTCTAAGATCTGTAAGTTTATCGACACCATTTAAAAACATCCTCTGATGCGAAAGTAAAATATTTTGGAAAATGTAACTCACATTCGTAGATATCCAATTGATATTAAAATTATCTAACTGGCCCACTTATATTGAAAATAATTATACCGATGAAATTGTGAATCGAACGAGTGGAAATAGTTAAGTAGTTTGATTAAATTAATTTCTGCAGTTGAAACGTTTTAAAAATGCAAGTGAACTAGAGGTGCTTACCCAACGCGAGAAGTTACACTATGCAGTGAAAGGTAGAGTCATGCTGAAGAGTATTCTTTCTGAAGGAAAAAGAAGTCGTTATTCAAGTTCAGAATCTTCTTTATCGTTGGATGAACCAGAAGAAAGTATGTTTTGTAATTTAAATTAATTTTTTATTTTTGTGCTGTATTTTTAGAAAGAGAACCGGCAAGCCCCGTTTTAAAAAAATACCCTGAATTGTTATATGACCCTTCGTGGTTTGGATTTCCGTATCACACCATGTATCAGGAATATGCTGACTTTCCACCTATGAGAGGTATTTTTCCGAGAGGCAGGGCCCCTTTCCCGAGGATGCCTATAATGCCAGGATCTTCAAGAGGTATTAGTTTGTTGGATTTTGTTGACAGAAAAATTTGTTTTTATTTTTTAATTATAATTCATTTATTGTCTCTAAATAACTTTTGTTAATATCTTTTCGTGACTTTTGCTGCATAGTTTTTAATTTTTATTCATTTCCTGCCCGATCTCTAAAGATGAAGAGCACTGTTTAAACATTCCATCGGAATTTCAAATAATGCAGAGACAATATCGATATTTCCCAAAATCTAGTTACAAAAGTATTTCCCATCTTTTCAGGGTCTTTTAATAGGCGGAGGGGTAACTACTACCCACGATACCGTGGCAACAATCGTGGCTACAAAGCTCGTCACTACCCTCCTGAAATAGAAGAGGAATATCAAAAGTATTTTTCAAAATTTTTAGACGAGCATGACGATCGGTCTTACTCGGACAGACACAGAAGATCACGCTCTCCCTCTTACAGCTCTCCCCGACGCAGTCGTTCGTACAGAAGGTCCTACAGTAGATCTCGTAGTCGATCTAGATCGAGGAGACGTTCTAATAGTCGAAGAACAAGATCTCACTCTCGGTCTCACCGTTCTTCTAGATCGAGGTCGAGGAGATCCATCTCTAAGGACAGATCTAGGAGAAAGTTGCGCTCTAAAGACAGATCGAGGTCGAAAACTCGTGAAAAATCACATTCTCGAGAGAGATCTAGGTCGAAATCGAGTAGGAAATCTTCACAGAAAGAGCGAAGGAAGAAGTCAAAGTCTAAGTCTAGAGAGAAGTCGGTCGATAGTTCGACGTTTATGACCCCGCAGCAATTGCAGCAGCAGAGTACGGACAGGAGATCTAGGTCGAAGTCCTGGTCTTTGCCGAAAGAAAGTGACAAATGTGAGGGGAGGTCGTGGTCAAAGTCTCCTGAGAAGTGACGGGGTGTGGTAGCGTGTCTGGTATTTTTTTTTTTTTGAATCACTCGAGATTTTGTTTTATAGAACAAAAAAACAAAACGTTAAGTATTGTTACTACTTGGTAATATTAGTTTACAATTTAGAATTTTACACTAGTTGAAAATGATTGAGAGGTAAGTCCAACTTCTGATTAAATTTTGATTGTAAGCAACTAAGGTGGCTCAAATAATAAAGTTCAAATTCATTGCAACTTCCTCAAATAGGATCTGAGACATTTCAACTAGCTCCAGAAATGTAATGAATACACTGGAAAATGATTTATTTGATTTTTCTGCTGTTATTCAAAAGATAGTTTAATGAAATACGGTTTCTATGCATTAAACATTATTGATTACGCTGTGTCAAATGTTCTTTATTTTTCACTGTTCTTGGGATGTGATACTAAACTTTTGGTCAAATAGGATTATTAATTCAAATTAAAGTAAAAAAATTTTGACCAACCGTGTACTGGTCTACCTAATTAGCGTTTTAAACAAATGAGTTATAGTACAAATTAAAAAATATATATTTTCCATTTTTCTTTTATATTTCATATAGTTAAAAGACCTCGGATCAGATTTCAGAAAATTCCAATAAGATATTGCACAGTTTTTTTACAATTTGAACCACCCTGTATCTGTAATACTTTACAATATCCCTATAGTTCCAAACCGGTATTAAATGAAATCAAATAATACATCATTATCTTTTTGAAAATGTAAATATGTTTTAAATTCACTATAAAGTGAGACATTTTGTTCGTAAAGAGGAGAGAAAAAGTATTTAAGTTTATTTGATCACAGTGTTGATATCTATAAAAAAGTGGTAAATGACTGGATTTTAAATTTTAAATAGTTTGAGTTCCAAACAGCTTGAAACAAAAAATTCAAGGAAAATCTGGTTTTGACATTCCGATGCAAAATATTTTTGTCCTTATACATCCTACCATTTCAAAATATTTGCAAATGATCATGAAAAAATGTATACTAATTGCATATAAGATCAAACGTAGAGAAAAAGAGACATGTTTTTCTTGATTTAAATTTTATATTCAAGATTCAAATTAAGGTTTTTCCTTAATTTTTGCATTTCAAATTGTTTGAAAGTCAAACTATTTGAACTTAAGTTTAGACCAAATTTAAAAAAAAAAACGGTATTAAAAATTGTAGTGACAAATGCTTAATAATTATTATTTTGGTTTTAGATATGTATCCTAGCATCTTGTACAAACAGTTCTATATTTGGTTTGGTATGAAAAAAATGTATTAAATATTTATTGTACGTTTGTATAAATATCTTTTTTGCACCCTTTCTCCCTGCTCAAATCAGATTTCTTTTGATTTTCTATACACAGTGTTTGGAAAACCACAAAAATGCTGTTTATTGGTGTCACAACAGGTTGGGTTTTGTTGCTTTGTTTTGTTTTATTATTTTAACGCTTTTGTTGCTTGTATCGATTCTAAAATTCTCGCAATTGTCAAAACAACCTGATTTATAAAATCAGTTGGCGTCGATTCGAGTAAAACTAATAATGAGACCTAAAGAGTAACTTCTTTGTATGAAAATAAACCGATTTAGGTCAAATTACCTTAGTATAATTCTACTTCAAGACGAATAAACTTTTTTTTCATTGTTAGTAGATATTCGAAAAAATACAGGTGGTTTTTGAAACACTATTTTTTTTAGTGGAAAACGAGTCGTGCTTGTCATTCATCTACAGATTAGTGATGGGCGTATTTCACGAACTGTGATTTAATCACTGATATAAAAAAATCAAAGGTCGTGATCATTCTTCAATTGCAAATAAAAACGTGACGTGATCACAGTTTACTTTACTCCTGTTTTCTTATTTAGCAGACTAAATATACTGCTTTAAGGGCGAATTTTGTTTAACACAATTAAAAATATCATGTGTTGCGTATCCCAAGCGACTTATTGACCATGTCGATGCTATAAAATCGACTTTTACATATCACCATAATAATATATTAACTATCAACCTTACATAGCATGAGCTACATGCCATACAAGCTATTCATATTATATAATATCTAGGCATGCGCTTATCTGCTCCAATCTGTTATGTTTGACATCGTTAACTACGATCACGAGATATATCTTGATCTTGAATGAAATGCAGAAAACGTTTTGTTATTGTGACAAGTCGCGGTCACGTCACACTTTTTAATTACTGATATTAAAAAATCACAATAACGATACACGTGTTTGAAAAATCATGGTATCGCCCATCACTACTACAGTTTAGTAGATCGCTCTTTGCTAGTAAGTACAGTTGTGGATAAAAAAATTTTACAATTTAAAGTAATAAAATTTAAATTGGCCTTCCGATGATGGTGCCATTTTAGCTCTGCCAAAATAGACCGAATAATTTTTATATTGATTTAAAAACTTAAAACATGTTAAGTGTAGTGGATATATAGGGTATTGAAAAAAAATCAATTCGGCCAACACGTAGTGCTTATAAAAAAACATGCTTTGTTTCTGGGGTTGCTAGAGACAGCTTCTCCAAGTTTAATAACACAGGCCGACAAAATTTCAAAACAAAAAAATTCCAGAGATCAGACACTACTCTTCCGAAGGCATTTGGCGCGCTGAATCCGAATCTGGCCTCAGAATTGATCCATCACCCTAGGTTTCCGAGATATTCTAACCTAAAAGTGCAAAAAACACGTACTTTTGCTATATTCAAGGTTATGTAACTTGGCGAAAAAATTTTTTTTCTTAAAAATGAAAACATCATTGGAAACGACTATCTTTCCCCTTCAAAACGCATTTTTTTATTTGGAAAAAGCTCTATTTTTCGCGGAGATATCGTCAATTTAAGATAACCCACCTTTGCACTTTTATGTTAGAATATCTCGGAAACCTAGGGTGATGGATCAATTCTGAGGCCAGATTCGGATTCAGCGCGCCAAATGCCTTCGGAAACGTGGTGTCTGATCTCTGGAATTTTTTCCTTGTTGGCCTGTGTAATCTTTCAAAATATTTGTCTATGACATTTTTCAAAAGCTTTAACGCCCTGTATCTCAGAAATGTATTCTCGAACTCATACTTGCGGAAATGTATTTTGTTGAGCTCCAAATTGATTACCTCTATTTTCAACAACCTATATTATAACAAACTATCATTATTTCCAGTGTTCTATCCATTTCAAATGTTTTGTAAAAAGAAATAATAAACCATCCTATATAATACACTGGAGCTTAAATACTCAACAGCAACACCACACTGAAGAGTGTGGAAACATTTTGTTGCTCACAGCTGTACAAAATAATGGTTTGTATAGTCTTTCCGGTCTCAATTGAAGAACCAAGAGGTTGGAAGTATGTATCAGGTTCGGTCGCTGGCGCAGCAACTCGGCATTGAAATATTTGAAAAACTTGTTCCCATATTTATTTAGCCATACTCATATACAGGTTTGGTCAAACAAAACGTAGAGGTAGTAGAAATTGTATACGCCCAGTTGAAAAATGCGCGCGCGGGCAAACGGCGTATAACACAGCCGCACTGGGTGACTGGGCAATAAATCTCAGTTGTTGACAAATTGCCTAGCAGTGCAGTGCAGCAATGCGGAATTTGGTGTGATTAAGGTTATTTTAATTTATTATAGGCGCCTTCCATTAATCATTCATATTCTAATTGCGAAAGGGAGAAATAAGAGATATTTTGTTTACTCATATTATCACAACATGGCATTTTGGAGAGCTTTTGAAATGAAACAAAATAAAATTTACCATCAATATAATGAAAGTGTTTGAGGACATAAATAATTAAAATATGTTGGTCAAATGAACATATAATAGACATTTTCTACACATTATATACATTTTAGGGATGCCATGAAACTCATTAAATTTTATTGCTAGACGTTTTTATACATGTTCAACTGACTTCGGAAAGACTATACCACAAGCCTTTTTTAAAACATATGTCAAATTATGTGGCATCCAACGTGAACAAATGTTTTGGCGGACAAATGTTCATGCAGTATTGAATGTATGCTGGTCCCACTAATGTCCAAGGATGCTTCAATCGTACAATAAGTCACAAGACGATCTTGCAACATCAGTTGACGCATAGCATCAATGTTTTCTGGATCGACAACCGATTTTGGACAACTTTCATGAAATTATTCAGTGAGCAAACTACGGCCACGATTGAATTTCGTATACCACCGATATACAGTGGTTTTTGATGGTGCTTCATCGCTAAAAGTCTAAGTTCATCGATGCACTGTTGTTGAGATAATCCACGTTGTAAGTTGTAAACAATAAACACAATCTTCAAGATTTAATTCCACTTTTTGCCTGTCAAAACGTTCTAAGTATACCAACAAAAAGTCGAACTTTACGATAGGGACATCGGATGGCACCAGGATTGTCCATTCCCAAAGTATAAAAGGCAACTCTTGTATTATGTCGTGAAAAGCACAGATTATTTGGTATTCGAAACTAATTACTTTTTTTCAAAATTTTTTCAAGTTTTTCTGATTTAATCACCTTACCTCCAATTAAAAGTAAACACTATCACATCCTGTATATCTTGTCTTCAAAATATATTTCGATTGCTTTTTTTAACTTTTAGATAATTGTTACTTTCTTTGTTCTGGAAATAAATTTGAAGACAGCTGAAAAAATGGGATCGTTTCTGGGGGGAAAATTGTCATAACAACAATCTAGTAACATTTTGCCGACTGCTGACTGCAGGAATAACTTTTTATTCTAACTTTTCTTTCGACACAAACGAGATGGTACATTAGGCCTTAGTGTAGAAAAATCCACAAAAAAATCAATCTTCAAAATAATAACACACATCTGATAAGGAAACTTTTATACAGAAAAAAAAAAAAATGTTTATAACTGCATTTATAAATATTCATTAAAGTAAATCGATAACAGATGGGAAACCTCCGATAGCACCGTTACTTACTTGGCTAAATCGGAAACCTCCTTACCTAGCTACTCGCTCGTCTACAAATTTAACAAACACATCGTCTTTGGAAACTTTAGCAAAAAATGTGCTCTCTCTTAACTTCGAACGAGGCCATCGTCTCCTTTAAAAGACCACATATTTAGAATCCATATTTACAGGTACTAGCTCGTTCTTGAAGTTCTACTTATTATAATACATTATCCCAGTCTATGCGTAAATAGTTACATTAGTATGAGCGCTATAAAATGGCATTTATTTCACACAGTTCTAATGTGAATCGTTCGCTATTTTTTTTACCTAACTTTACCGATTACGCTACACATTGTAAAGAAAACCACTTCTTAAACTCAAAAAACATTTGCCAAAGAAATTGCATTAAAATACGAAGGTGGCATTATCTTTACTACATATTAAAAATTTTGAGGCCAATAAATCTAGGGTTAACATTACCACTATATTTTTATCCTTATAATGGAATGTACATCTTGTTGTCTGGAGACGGAAACATTTGTTGAAATAATTTGGGCTTTGATGATAAATTAATAAATTTTCATGTTAGAGACGAGAGAATTTTTAACACAACAGAGTACGCACTTTTTACTATCTGTATTGTACAACCTTTTACATAATTTCGATGCCAATGTCAATGTTTTTTTAAATTTTTTATATTTTACAAACAAGAACCCCTATACAAGGATGTTTAGTAATGTTAAATCATCAAATTGTTTGGGGCGTGTTAATTTTTCATAAAACATTGGGGTCAATTTTAAGGCCAATTGCGTATTTGTAAATATTTTAAGGTCAATATTTTCAATTGATTGTAATAGAAATAAGGATGTGATATTTACTATATTTACCATATTTTAAGAATTTTGAGGGCAGTTTGAGATAATAGTTTAGGGGCAACAGACACCAGTAAGATGTCTTTTTATCCTCTTAATGGAATGTACAACTTGCTTGCAAGTAACGTGAAAATATAAATGTTTTTTTTTGTAATTTAGACAACAACAATGTTGACATAAACTTCCGTGTTAGATACGAGGCAATTTTTAACACGTGTCGTTCCAACTTGTATGGAAATTACGAATGAGGTCAATGTTACAAACAAATAAGAACACCCTTAAAAGGATGTTCAATACTAACAAATTTGAGGTTAAAAAATTTTCCGTAAATTGTGAAGTAATATTCGAATCGCCACATTTTTCATTTAGTATGTGCAAAAAATAAGTTTGACATGTATTTACATCTTTGTACATCAAAAACGATCGGTATTATTTAATTTTTAATAAAGTACCCAATTGAGGTCAATATTTTTAAGGCCAACATTTATCATACATGTTACAGAAAAACTAAGAACACCTTTACAAGGGTATACCATAAAGACAAGTTTAAGGGCAATGAAATTTCTAATGTAGTATTAAGTATTGGAAATTTTTTATTTGGTATGCAAGTTAAAAAAATAAGAAATTATAAGCACATATTTGATATTTTTGCATATTAAAAACAATTAGTATTTTAAATTTTACTTAAACAATGGGGCCAAAACATTTAGAAATGTGTAGAATTTTAGGGCAATAAAATTTTTAAATAGACAAACAAGAAACGAGAAAAATATTTTTCTATCTTTAGGCAATTTTGAGGCCAATTTGAATATTTTTAAAGTAATTTTAAAGGGAATATATTAAATTTGAATATGCCTACAGTCTTGAGGCTAATATTTTAATAAAGCGAATATTTTTAGGGCAATATTTATCATACATGTTACAGAAAAAGTAATAACACCTTTACAAGGGTATTCCATAAAGACAAGTTTAAGGGCAATGAAATTTCTAATATAGTATTATTAAGTATTGGAAATTTTTTATTCGGTATGTAAGTTAAAAAAAAATAAGAAATTAATAAGCACCTATTTGATATTTTTGCATATTGAAAACAATTAGTATTTTAAAATTTACTTACAAAATGGGGTCAATTTTGGGGGTAATTAAAATATTTAAAAAGTGTAGAATTTTAGGGCAATAAAATTTTTAAATACTCACCAGAAACAAAAAAATATTTTTCCATCTTTAAAAATTTGAGGCAATTTTGAGGCCAATTTGAATATTTTAGTTTTGAGGCCAATATTTTAATAAAGTGAATATTTTTAGAGCAATTTTTATTAAATTTGAATTAATATGCCCACAGTTTTGAGGCTATTATTTTAATAAAGAGAATATTTTTAGGGCAATTTCAAAGGAAATGTATTAAATTCAAATTAAATGCCCTATTCGCAATAATGTGATTAAGTTTCATTATTTATTAAACATTTATCAGATTAAGTATACTGTGAAACAATTTTGAGGTAGTATTCTTTAAAATGTGCAACGCTTCGATTTTCCACACGACAGCGAAATGCCAGTGAAAAATAAATATTTATTCACAGTAAAAGTGTATAAAATAAACCTAATTGTTAACAGGAGTGTCCTCACGGTGTCTATATCACATTTTTTGCTGTACAAAGAGTGCACGAATATATTTTCCATTTTTTTTTTAAACTTACAAAACACTTGTAATTTCCATCATGATCAAGAGAGTCTGTTGTAATAATAGATATCGTTTGAAAGCAAGCACATGGTTCTAAACGGTTAAATCTGTGTAGTAGGATTAAATCTAGTGCGGGCGCACGGCCTAATCGCTGTGCGACCTCGACCTCGTCGCTGCCCCCGAGCTGTCCTGGGAACTAGAACTGGTGGCGCTGTTCTCCGACGAAGCATTCCGCGGTGGTTGAAAGAGAGTCCTGAGGACATTGAAGGAGGTATTACCTGTAAGCGACGGAGACAGTAAAAAACGTACCGTACAAGAATCTCACAACTACCTCAGGGTGTATACCAAATTTTTGATAAAAAAAGTTCCTTGCTACTTCCGGATTTTCCAAGTAGTATGAAAAATTTTCCAATTGAAATTTAAATTTCCCGCCGATTTATAATTTAAAAAATGTAAGCGTTACTAATTGTACATAAAAAATTTTTGCCGTTTTATAAAATGAACATAAAAAATAAAAAATACTTATCTGGTAGATTTATATATAAAAAGCGTTTTTTTAAAGCACTGTGTGTGTTTGTTTGTGAATTTGAGTGTCAATGACCTCCGGCACAGCTCTAGTTTACAATTTCATATTATCAATCCAGCTGTTGTGATATGATAAAGGCTCTAGGAGAGCAAAAAACAAATGACCATCATTAATTTGGCAAAACCAGAATGGACGAACCAAGAAATAAAATGTAACAATGTCCTAGGTCCTAGTTGGGTAAGCGTTCAGGTTAATGTGCACTGTTGTTTAGTGTTACACGAGTCTGTCCAAGTTTTTCTAGATTAGTATACACCCTTTAACCGGTATGTTTCTCATCTATTCATCAGGTAATTCGGAAAACGACATTATAAATTTTAAACTACGACTTACTTGCACTAGATGTTCCGCCTAAATCAGGATTATTGTCGCTACTCGATTGTTCGCCATTCACTAGGTTCTGCCTACAGATGGGGCAGGTGCCGTGCAGCTCCAGCCAGGGCCTGATGCATGGCTCGTGATATATGTGGAGACAGGGCAGCTGACGGACGTTTTCCTTAGACAGGAAGTCCTCCCAGCACACAGAGCACTGGAGTTTGGCCGTCACCTGTTCCGGCGTTACTTCTACTATTGGGAGCGCATCGATAACATCTTTTGACACGGGGGGCGGGCCTAGAGGTTTAATTTGTCGTTCAAATCGATCGTAAATACCGCAGAAGAGTGATTATTTTATAATCACTCTTATACTATTTTATTAATACCCTGTATAAATTTAATTACAAAATGTATAAAGAAACTACAAAGTTATCGAACCTACCTGTACTATCCATTTGATTTAAGAGCTGTGTGACTATAGCATCCAGTCCTTCCCTACCCCAAGCATAATCTCCAGGGTTTCCTAAGAATAACTGCATATTTCCGGAAGTACCCCAATTCACCCCGACACCCAAATTAACGATGAAATCTTGCAGTAAGTTTTCGAATGGCACTTGTTGTCTTAAATTTGAAGATGCTAGTCTGGTGAGAGTTCTGAAAAATATAGAAATGTCTAGAACTACAAAATATTTATAAAGGTACAACAAACCACAGAACAGATATTTGTTTATGTTATTCGCATTAGCCGAAATCTCCCATTGTCCGATTTTTTGTCCGAAACGCATTATGGGTGTGGTAATTTACCCACGATGCATTCAGAGAGTTTTTCTTCAAACAATGAGTATAGTCTTTCCGATCTCAACTGAAGAACCAAGAGGTTGGCAGTATGTACCAGGTTCGGTAGCTGACACAGCAACTCGGCATAGAAATATTTGAAAAACTTGTTCCCATATTTATTTAGCCATACACATATGCAAATGTGACACAAACACAGCCACACTGGTCGATCTGGCCATAAATTCTGTTGTCAACAAATGGCCTAGCAGTGCAGTGCAGCAATGCAGAATTTGGTGTGGTTCAGGTAATTTTAATTTATTATAAACACCTTCTATTAATCATTCATATTACAATTGCGAAAGGGAGAAATAAGAGGTATATTTTGTTTACTAATATTATTACAACATGGCATTTTGGAGACCTTTTGAAATGGAACAAAACGAAATTTACCATCGATATAATAAAATTGTTTTAGGACATAAATAATTAAAATTAAATTAACATATAATAGAAATTTTCTACGCATTATATACAAATTATTATAATTTTTTTACCTTTAGCAGAAAATTTTTTTAGGGATGCCTATGAAACTCATTAAATTTTATTGCTAGGCATTTTTATACATGTTCAACTGACTTCGGAAAGATTATAAACCAAATTAACCAGAACGCATTGTAGGTAAGGAATGTGTATGTATGTATGTGTAAGGTAAGGTATTTTTGTTGTGGAACATTTCTTTTGCGTTTTGAGTAAAACAATGAATACAAAAAATAATAAAGTGCTTATTTAAACGTAGGTATCATAGGATATATTTATGTTATTATACCACAAACAAAAACACGCAACGCAATCTAAAAATAGGGAAGCAAGAGCTAAAAAAACAAACATTATTTGTTTTTACAAGAGTTGCTTTTGTGACAAGCATGAGACGAGGGCAAAAGAAATGCTTCACAAAGCAAAACAAAAGCGCGCAAATACTTATTTCGTGTTGTGGGTGACATACTTTACCCACAACACGTTCTGGTTAATATGCTTTACTCACTGTTCAAAGAAAAAGTCTCCAAACGCATCGTGCACAAATTACTATACCCATAATGCGATTTCGGCTATTGCAAATAACATATAAAATGATTTGTAACATATCTACTGGGGTTAGTACTCATCTGATCAAGTCAGGATTGTTTTGGTAAAGTTGCCTTCTAGGTCCATAACTTAAGTAGTTTAGATCTCTTTAAATCAAATTTCTCTAGCTTGAAAATCTGTACAATTCATCATAATTTACACAAGTCTCTACAATTCGAATTTTCGCAATAAAAATGAACTCTTTCAGTATAATGTTTATAATTTAGGATACGAGATGCTACTGGCCAGAAATCTTCTCGCTAGAAATGCTAAAAGCATTTGAAACAATCCAGCTGCGAACAAAAACACAACAGACAGTTTGTTTTGTTCACGAGACGAAATAAAGGAATTTTATGAATCAAACTTGGTAAAAAACAATACATCAAAGTTTAACAACTAATTAATAAAAAAATTTACTCGTTTGTTACGTAATACATACATAGTACCTATGAATGTATGTATGTTATGCCATAATATTTATATTGCTCTATTTTTTATAATTACGTTTTAGAATGTTTCTTATGGCACATTATTTTTTTTTTATAACTTGAACTAATGTTGCAGTCCCTTGAAATTCGAGTTATGGAAGTTCAACTGTATATTATGATACTATGATGATCCAAGTACAGAGCAACATTTCTAAAACTGTTTATTTACAGCTCTCTCAATATAACCAAAGTATCACACACAAATGTTTATTAGTAACAATAAACTTTTGTTTATTACATCGGAATTCCTCTCATATAGTGTTTTAAACATTCCTTAATTGTTTTGTGACAATATATCATGCTTTCATCCAGTTTTAAATCGGAAATAAAAAGGGACTTTTAAAAATTGATCAGCAAAAGTTGTTCCTGACATTTTTATTAATATTAATCACAACAAACACTGCACAAATGTGTACACCTTGTGAATATTAATTTGCAAATCGCTAGTTACTTTTCCCACAGCAGTTTGACAGCCAGTAAGATAATTTAAAGAAACATAATGCTTATAAACCCAGTTTCCAATCCTACTAGGAAAATATATGGATTAATCGTTATAAAACAGGCCCTTTATATACAGTTCAATTCTGACCTTCACTTTTTGTACTAACCCTAATGTCTACTCTTTTTTATTATCTAAAAAGTGACAAATTAATAATTTAAGTACATAATTTTAAATCATTCGTTTAGAGCAGAGATACCCTACAAGTCATAAAACTATTTGATAGAGCCAATTTCATTTCATTATTACAAAATTAGTACAAAATATTATATAAAGATCTTTTGGTACGTTTTGTGCAGTTGTAATCTCTGTTAGCTAAGCAGTTGATTAAACAAATGATAAAATTGTATCTTCCGTAACATATAGTTATAAAATAAGCTTACAACTTTAGTCAGCAGTAATGTTAAAAAACTGATGCCAATGAAAAGTGTTGCAACATAAGAAGTAGAAACTACAAATTTCCATCTGCATTATATTGTGCAAAACCAACAATTATTATCTCAAAGTAGAAGAGCGTAATGATTAAGCATATAGATTAGTAAAAATATCTTAAACTTTAATCTAATATGCATAAAAGAAAATGATAAGAAATAGCTGAATAATTTATGTACCTATTCTGAGTAAACGAATTGATTTTAGATTATGAATACAAAACAATTAAATTAAGTTCCTATATGGAAATCAAACATATTTTTAAAGGCAAAGAAATTCATCAGCACTATATTTGTAGTTTCATAAATAATCATATTTATAAAATAAAATGTATCAACACAGTTCTTTAATACATTTTTTATAATGCGTTATTGCAATGTAGTGAACTAAAGTGCGTAAATAATGGAATACAAATTAGCAAAATTTAAATTTAAAATTGCAATTTACGTGAAATGGAAATGATTTTTGTCTAGAATTCAAGAATAGTTGAAAATTGTTTGTTAACAAAATGAACATTATATTATTCTCACTAATCAAGCAATACTGTTTCTTGTGATCAAAAGACGTTAAAATAATTTTAGAAATTTTAAACATTCAATTTCATTAAAAAAATATATATTACCTACATATTTTTGAAATTGTCTCTATCCTATTATTATCACAAATCAGTAAGACCAACTGTGAAGTTAGTGTAGTAATTTCATGGAGATTCATGCATTAGTTTTAATATTAATTGGTCAAACCTGGGCCTTACTATCCTGGCGCGAGAATTAACAGCGTACCTTCTGCCAGTACGGTTTCCATCTGATCGGGGTCTTCCCGTCCTTCTCTCATCTACTAAATGTAAGGGTAATGTGATAAGGTCGTCCATCTAGAAAAAGTGTTATAAGGAAAACAAGTTTTACCACTGTGAAAAAATAGGACTTACCACATCGTCATCCACCCAGTCATTTACATCTACCATCTCCTCATTGTTGGCAGGGGGATCCTGCAACTCCTCAATGAATCCATCTGAGCAATGGGGACATGTGAAGTTCTAAAAAGGCCAAAATGTACATTGACATTTTACAATATGCATTGATTATTTACCGCAGATGCGTTTTGGAACTGTACGTTGCACATGTGACAGTAGAACTTTTGTGGTGGTCGGTCCTCTACAGCTGCTTCTGCCATTTCTTCTTGATTATTGTTCCTAAAACTACTGATTTAAAGAAAGGATTTACAAAAGCACAGTCACAAAAGTCACTTCAACCACCATATTTTTACGTACATCACAACAAATTTACCAACGATCTGCGCATAGCAAAAAAATCCCCAAATTGATTACTGTTTATCACTATTGTTTCATTTTAGTTACATAGATAGAGTTGGCCATACTGTATATTTTAACATTTATTTTCCAAGAAACAGAAAACATAACTTTGAACTGATAAAAGACTGATAATAACTGATATGAGTAGAATGGTTTAGATAATGTCGATAATTCTAATTCCTAAATCACAAAAATTAAATCTTAAAAAAATAGTTTGAAAGTGCTTCAGTTTTACCAACTCCGCTAAATTAGCGTTTAGATTAAATTCTTGTGGGGTCATGCTTCTGACATGATTAATAACTATTATTATAAGTTTGCAGTTCTCGAAATGGAAGTTTTTTTATTATTCCATTCCACAATTAGTTCAATATAATATATCACATATCCAGAAAGAAAACAAGAAGAAGAAGTTTTGAGCTGAGTAGACGGAAATAGAGAAAGACGAGACGAAAGGAAGAAGAAGAAAAGTTTTCTACATCTGTCATCTAGTGATGGGCATAATCGACCAATTTTGATAATCGAGTTATCGGTAATCGAGAACTTCTAATAATCGAGTGATCACTCGAGATACGAGATATTGGTCGTTTTCATCCCAGCGGCGCACAAATATGTTTGTATTAGTCATATATTACTTATAAGCGTAGTTAAAAAAAAAAGCTCACGCACTTCAAAACCTAACCACTTTTTCGTTTTATTCTAAAAAAAAAGGTTACGCAATCAGTGACTATTTGCAGTATGCACTAACATTTTGGGGTGCAACCGTAGGCTAATAATCACTCGAGTGGTGGGAGTAAACATCTCGAGATATCTCGAGTGATCTCAATAATCGAGTACCACTCGATTTTTCACTCGAAATCTCCCATCACTACTGTCATCTGTCTTTTTAAAATAAAATTTTGCATGCTTGTGTAATGTTGTTCAAAATAAAACTATAGAAACGCATTACTTAAAAAATGCGTATTGAAACATGTTATTTTTGCTCCTCTAGGATATATCCTGGACATGGCATCCAATTTGTGAGAAATGATTGCAAGGTACACACAATCATTGTTAGGTTATGTTGTTACTTAATTCATCTGTTTTTAGATATTTAAATTTTGCCGTTCAAAATGTCATGCAGCGTTTAAAAAGAAAAAGAACCCACGTAAAGTTAAATGGACCAAGGCCTACAGGAAGACGGTGGGTAAGGAATTGGCAGTAGATCCTTCCTTTGAGTTTGAAAAACGCAGGCACGTTCCCATTAAATATGACAGGGAAACCTGGACTAAGGCCATCGAGGCGATGAAGAAAGTCGAAGTCATTAAACAGAAGCGACAGAACACTTATATTTTGCAAAGGTTACGTAAAGCCAGAGAATTGGAACAGGAGAGAGATATCAAGGAGGTGCAACGAGATTTGTCGCTTATCCGGTCACCAGCGGCTGGACTTAAAAAGGTTAAAGTGGATGAAACCATGGCTGAGGAAACACGAGAAAGTGACGAGGAAATGGAAGGAGTTGTGGAAGACGGCGGAGAAGTTACTTTATAATTTGGATGTGTTTGCTTTTTAATTCTATAAGTTTCAAGTGATTCTAACTCAAATTAATGATACACATCTGATACCTTTGTTCAATAAAAGTTTTCTCGTGAATTTAAATTTTTAAGTTTTCTACCATTCGAAACAAAATATTGTTGGGTGATGTAAAACAGATCGGTAAGTTCATAAGCAAGAGAGAAGTGCAGAAATGTAGAGATTTTTTTCTAAATTATGGGGAAAAGGTTGATTAATTAAAAATTTATGGCTTAATGGGATTTTGCAAGATGTTTTGCTTACAAATGTGGTGTATTTACAAAATGCATAAGTAACAATACATTTTTTTAATAGTCGTGTGTGTGCACAAAAGGTTATTATATGTAAACTGTCTTTTTGGAGCATAAATGGAGAACTCTGCTGCTTTAAAATAATCTACAAGTTTTGAAAAATCTGGAGTGTTTCGAGATTTGGAAAATATTCAGTATTTTCATTATAAAAATTTTCGGCGGAATATAAGAATATTTCACATTTATTAGTTTTTATTATTATCATGTATAATATAAATTCTCGAATTCTTCAGTTATGCTAATTTGTGGTTGTTATTCCCATTTGTGTTCGATGGAAATTCTTCAACAATAAATTTTCGTGCATTTTATGACTAATGTTGCGTACGGTTACAAAATGTTTCATAGTAAAATGATTTCTAGATATAAATTGCAGTAGTTTTCTAAAAAATAATCACTTTATTAAATTAAAAATGATCTACCTAATCTATACAAAATTTGATTATTAAGAAATACTTATTTTAGTTATTTATTTATGTTGCAACAACAAATAAACTGTGCACCTATAAGTTTGACTGATAATTCAATTTTTAAGTGGAACTATTGAATTAAAATGTTTGATGAAGAAATATTGTTTACTTACTAATTTATCTGGGTTCAAAAAAAAATATTTGACCTAAAACTGATGGGAAAAGTTTGTATTTATCTAATTCTGTAACAATAAATAACTAGTACAAACTGATAAGAAGCTCATGTTTATTATTCCTATACTATTACAAATTAATGAGAGCTAGAATAAATTTGCCTGATGATTTACAACTTACTTTTAGCAGCTGCCCCTGATTGACAAGAGATAACACAACATGAGGAATAAACTGAAAATACACAGTTTTTCCTTATCAAATGTTTGTTTTGTGCAGCAGAATAGATAAGATACTAAACAGCGTCCTGTTTTTTATATTTTTTGTGCTTTATCACTTCTTAGATAGACAGTTTAACATTAGACACTCTTAAGGACTAACAAATCAGTATTAATTTGTGTAATGTGATAAAGTAATGAGTTAAAATGAATTTAATTCAAACACAAATTGTATCAATAGTCTCGCTAGGCTTAGCAAGCATATTCGTTGGACTGATACCAGCAAGTTTCGCGAATCGTGGTAGGCAACAGTGGCCGCTGTTGCTTTCCAGCCTCTTATGCTTTGGAGGAGGTGTGCTTTTATCCACATCTTTGGTCCATATACTCCCTGAAGTTAGAGAGGTAGCTCCCAAAGAATACAAACCGTACACGGAGTTAGTATTCTGTGGAGGCTTCTTTATTTTGTACATGATAGATGAAATTGTTCACTATTTCTATGGCGACACTCAGGAGGCAAATATCTTGCATAATTCGCATAAACCCAACCCTACACATCGAAGACATTCTACCACTTACGGAGCTACAGAAAGAAATTCGTTACTGACGCCTCAGCAACAACCTCCATATAACCCCTCATTTCACAGGGTGAGAAGTGATAGTGTGTTGTTTGTAGACAATGCCCCTTCGCAGTTGTGTCACGTTGGACACCAGGAACCCTGTCACACAGCGCCTACTGCCAATGTAGGCCTTCTGGTGGCGTTGTCGGTGCACGCTTTGTTGGAAGGATTGGTAGTGGGGCTGGAGGATCTGTCGGGGAAGGTAAAATCTTTGCCATGAAATGATATTTTGTTACTACTTTTTGGTAATAATTTCATTTATTTCCAACAAATGTTCATCAAATTGTAAGAAAACTTGGTGTTTTCGTTGGGTAACAAACATTTAATTTAGATTTTTGGGAGGTTTCGATTAGCTACTTAACTTGGTTTACAATGCATTTGTAAAAATGAGCTTGGATATGGTTCATAGTATAAATAAATATTCCAATAGCACAGAGTATATTCAGTGCCTTTACTTAAAGTTTTTAATTCATAAAGTTGCCATATGTACTCTGATGCAGGCATTATTCAAGAGGAACTGTTGAATATGTTTAAATTTCTTGTTGTTTTCAGTTTTTATCACTTTAAAGGTGTTATGTGTGCAAATTTTACCTCTGTCTACAAAAAGCTTGATATATATTTTGCTAATATCAATATAAAAAATTTATTTCTAAATTAATTGGATATTATGTCTTCTTAACACCATTTTGTTTGTTATACAAATGGATCTATTTATTTATGAATCTCGTACAAGATGTTTCCAAGTTTACGAAAAAACTGAAATAAGTGATGCTCTGCCTAAAAACAGACTAATTTTTAGAGATAATATGTGAAAGTTTTTGAAAAATGTTACATTTACGTAAATATTTTTTTGAATGTTTGCATAAACTGATGAAATTTTTGAGTGACCAAACGGCAAATGTTATAGAAACGTGTTTAGGTGGGTACGTGTAGGTTGATTACTGCTACATTTTAAAAATATTTTGAAATATACATGGTGTCCAGGAAATGCGTACCATTTCAAAGTTATGTATTTTTAAATGGAACACCCTGTATTTTACTGCATTTTTGAAAGCACCATAAAAAAATAGGTGAAGTTTATTGAGGGTTTTGCATACCTAGGTCTTAGTGTTTGTGAGATATTTCAATTTTAGTGAAAATGCAGGCCATAACTGGGTTATTTTAAATAGGACACCCAGTATATTTTTGCTTTGGAAGTTAGGAAAGTTAAAATTCTTTCAAACCGTATTTAGGTTCCCCACACCTATCTCTAACAGTATAGGTCATAGGAGATATCTGTGCCGTTTCGTTTTTTATTGAAATTTTTTTGTAAGATTTATCCACGTGTCTTCATCGAGGTCTTTATTGAATTGGTTTGGGTTCTTCTTGATGATGTCTCTTTAAATATAATGAGAAAAATTAGGATGCAATTAAATGGTGCACATTCAAATTTTTCATATTCAGTGAGAAATCAGAGACGTTTATATACTTTTAAAAAATTCCAGGGCTAGCCTCAATTTTTTTTAACTTCTTCACTGTCGGTAATATTGCCCTGTATATAATTTTCTCACAAATGCTAAACAGTAAATCGATCAATATATAAAATAATGCCATAATATTTGTTGGCACACCTTTAATGATCATATGTTACATACATAAAATTAGCAGTAAATAAAAAAAATACACAGTGGTTCGTCAGTAATAAGGTATCAATGAATTTATGGTTTTTAGAATATACCTACATTGTAGGTATTTTTTATTTTCAGGTGTGGCTTATGCTTGGAGCAATTGCCTCTCACAAATTGGTTGTGGGTTTCTGCCTGGGAATGGAACTTGCGTCTAGTCCAACGATCAAATTCTGCAGGCATTTTGTATATATATTCATTTTTACGTTAGGATCTATAATTGGTATCATTATCGGAATGTTCATTACAAATATTCCAAGTGGACTGAAAGATATAGCTATACCTCTATTACAGGTAAAGTTTCTTCGTAACGTAAATACAATTTTCTTGAAACAGTGTTACGTTATATATACATATAAAATAGTATTTTATTAGAAAAAAAAAAGTATATACTCATACCAAGTGCAAGTTTTAAATTTGATGTTTAATTATTCAGTATCTCTACAACTGTTTTAACTCATTCGTGGGCATTATCTAAGTACCTAAGGTGTGCCTTGTGTAGTCTCAAATTTATACACTCAATTTACATCCAGTTATAAGGATATATTGGAAATGATATATTCTTTTTTATTCATGATTTTTAGGCTCTTGCTGGAGGTACTCTTTTGTATGTGACTGTGAGTGAAGTGCTACCAAGAGAAAGAGCACGGTGGCATCAGCAGCATGAGAAAAGAAGAGCCGGTATATGCCAATTTTTGTCTGTCATTATAGGATTTGTACTTATGACTGCACTTAGCAAATACCTAGGTAAAATTTTTGTTTCATTTCTATTTAAATAATTTTAAATTTATCGATTTTTTCAGATCTTGATGGATGAAGAAGCGTTTTATCAATAGGTTTTATTAAAATGACTAAACAAATATAGATTTTATTTAATTATTTTGATTTTGTGTATGTTTCTATTGTGACAAATATTTTTAATTATTAAAAATATATAATACTTAGTGTGAAACAAATTAAAATATAATTATATAAAATTTAATTATACTTATACTCATATTTTTATAAAAATGAGTGTTATTTTTAATTTAATTTTGGTATTTAAATAAATAGGACTATCCAGAAACTCACTTGTAGATATATATATACAAGTCTACTTGGGGAATCCCAGAAATTTATTTGCAGCCATTAAGATCGCAAAGATAAATAAAGTAAGGTGTTTAATTACATTAATAGCATTTTTTTCACTAGAGGTGAGGAGTATCTTATTGCACTACATAATTGACTTTATTTGGGGTTAGGTACCTAACAACGGTTAAAAATAATTTACCCATATAGCTAGATTTTTTAGTGCGTAATAATTATAATTGACACACAGACGCCATTTTGTGTCCAACAAACCTTTGACTGATGTGTTCTGCAAATATGTTAAGGATAAATATGTATGCAAAAAATTAGAAGATTAAATGAATATGGAGTACCTATTGTGGTGACAGTGCCTATAGTGTAGTTATTGACTTTAGCTTGTAATTTTTGTTTTATATTCAAAAAGGCGAAAAAATGAGGAATGGTGAGGCTGTCTAAATAATATATAGATAAATATCTTGCTTTTTACTTGTGTATTTTTCGATATGAAAGAAAATTTTAATTTTAATTATATTTAAAAAAATCATTTGTTAGTCTTTAAAAAGTCACTTATTTGTATTTGAAAAAGATGTTTGCTGGTATTGTCATAAAACTGATCATTCCAGGACCTACCGCAATAAAATGCTCTTCCAACAATAAATGCAAGCTAAAAACCCTAATAGGATCCTTTAGCAAAATATATTCATTATAACAGCATAGTAACCTTTCTAGAGACTATTTAAAGCAGGCATTTTGTTAGGGTTAATCAATGGCTAAATGATATTTCCTTCAGTGCAGTACCTATATACAATCAAATATTTGTCTAACTTATGTTTTTCTTTAAGTTACATTGTATATCTTCTGTAGTGTTAGATAAAGACACATCAAAATCGATTTTACCACACTACTATCTTGAGAAAACGTTATAGTTATAATAGATGCGATATTTAAAAGGAAATAACATTTTCATGAAATCATAGTAGAAATAAATTAATGATACTGCCATCTTTTGAGTCTAAAACCAATGAAAGGATGTCGTGAGAGATATAAGGGAATCTATTTCTGTTTGTATAAAAGAACTTACTTCTACCGAAATCCTTGTTAACTGAAATGAAATACGACGATAAATCACTTTATTTCAAATCTTATAAAATAGTACCTCTGGAACGTCGACATGCGAAAACTATCGATCTGAGCGTTGAGTTATATAGGGTGTTTCGTGACTAACAATCGGGAATCTTATAAATTTCGTTACATTAACATTAGTTAAACAGGGTTCAAGTATAGTCGGTTTATAAGGCCAAAATGAGTAGTACTCTGCACACCGTAATGTTATTCAGTATTGATCTATTGCTATAATTGGATCTAAGAACGATCATCGGAAGAATGGTGGAGCGGATCCGGTAAGCAACAGCTTCATATAAAGGGTCCATAAGAATGTCATCTTAACAATCACCTTTGTAGAATTCAGCTGAGCGTCAGTATGAGCTGGAGGTTATAGTTTAATTAAATGGGGCTTTAATAATGGGGCAATTTCGCTCAACTTACCTGAATTTTTGATATAGGTAAGTTAATTTGAGGTATATAATAACAATAAGGGACAGTGATTTTTTCCAACCCTCGGCCAGGGGTGAAAAACATAAAATAAAGGAGTTTTTCAAGATAATTAAAAAAGGGTAAGAGTTAGAAGAAAAGTTTCTTATAAAAGTTGTAGAGCATAAAATTCTACATAAAAGTGTTAGGGAGACTAGAAGTTCAGGATGATTTCAGAAATTAAAACAAATTTTTAAAATCATAAGCAGAAAAAAAATTGTAAAATTCATTCATTTTTAACTTTTTTTATCCTTGGCCGGAGGCTGAAAAAAAATTACTGTCACTTACTGTTATTATATACCTCAAACTAACTTATATCAAAAATTCAGGCAAGTTGACCAAATTGCGTTTTAAAGACCCACTTAATTGGACTATTTATGTGGAATCACTGTGCCTGTTTTGTGCTGAAAATACCTGCAGCACTTGTTTCACCTCGGGACACCTAAGAAACTCGAGAAAAGTTTCAGCAGAGTTAGCGCTTGCCTTCCTTCGCACAAGACCTTGATTCAAATTCAAATTTGCTTCGTTTAGATAGAGTTATGAACAGCAAACATTCATAGAGTGATTCTAATAAAAAAAATGATGGTACACATTCCTATAACATTTAATATTAACGGAGTTACATAACCCCATAGGTATAATTACGTAAAAAAAATCAAAACTTTAATAAGTAATACTGAAAATTGAGACAACTATCAACATTTAACTAGATGAAATAGTGAGTTCGGTGAATTGAAGGTACCTAGTAGTTATTTTGATTCTGATTTCCTGCTTAGTATAGGTAAGTTGTAAATGGTATTGTTTTCCTGGCGTTTCATACAGATGATCAATTTTTAACATTATACCAAACTGGATTTCAGAAGTCAAAATAACTGTAATACATTCACAATCCAATAATGGAAGAGAAAAATGAAATATAATTTGAGTTTTTATTCTAATTGAATTTTAATTTGATAATTAAGCCATTTAACTTGTTAGACCAGTGCGGATCTGTTTTGATGTGAATGTGAGAGGGGGGTAAGCAATTTTTTATCTTCAGTACAATTCGCATAATAAAAGTGTAGATCCCTAGATCTCGGCGAGGTCCGGAACATTTTCAAAATTGCAAAATTATTTAAAAAATTTTAAAAAATACCTATTTTATCTGAGTTTTGGAAGAATATTGAAGAGGGAAAAAGTTTTAGAATTGAATTTTGCACAATATACTGCACGTTAAAAATGTTTAAATTTATTACCATGTTGCAAAATAGCAATAATCGATGAAAAAAAGGCAAAATAATCAAGTTTTTTGGATAATTTTTTTAAAATATTTTAATTGCTCCGAGGGCATTCTAATTTTGGTAAAAAGAACTTTAGAGTAAAATAAAACAACACACCACCAAATGTCATTAAAATCGGTTGGCAAACTAATTTTTTGAAAAAAATTTTGAAAAAAATGTTTCGAAGTTTCAAAATGTTGCACAGCCTCATCTAGATACTTGAAAATTTTTTCGCATAGAAAAGACCGCTCAACCTTTCAAATGATTTTTGAAAAATTGAAATAGGTTGATTAGGACGGCCACAGTAAATTTTTAAAGTTAACACTCTTTTTTTTTATTTAAATAATTAGATTACATTTATCAATTTGAAATTTAGTTTTTTTAGAAATTATAAACTTAGAGTAATATTTTTTCTTAATTTTATTTGTATCTAACAAAAAAAATAATTTACAAATAAAAAAATTATTTATTAAAACAAAAATTATTTAAATAATTGTAATAATTATAACTAAATATTCACAGTGTTTAAATATACACGTAAACAAATTTTTTCATTGAAAAAATGCAATAGCATGAGGCATATATTTAATGCACCGATTTTAATGAAATTTGGTGTGTTGTTTTATTATACTCTAAAGTTTTTTTACCAAAATTAGAATACCCTCGAAGCAATTAAAATATTTTAAAAAAATTATCCAAAAAACTTGTTTATTTTGCCTTTTTTTCATCAATTATTGCTATTTTGCAACATCGGTAATAAATTTAAACATTTTTAACTTGCAGTATATTGTGCAAAATTCAAATCTAAATTTTTTTTCCACTTCAATGTTCTTCTAAAATGCATAATAGGTTCCAAGATATAAGTAAAAAACTCAGATCAAAAAACATTTTTGCAATTTTGAAAATGTTCCGCACCTCGACCAGATCTAGGGATCTACACTTTTGTTATGCGAGTTGTACTGAAGGTAATCCAGAAAAATTGCTTGCCCCCTCTCACATCCAAGAAGTGGGATATTTCGACAGATCCGCCCTGATCGATGTAGTAAATGAGGTAATACTTTTTTGATCTTGGAACAGTGGTGCCAGATTTGCAGATTTTTCTGCAAAATGCAGAATTTTACAGCAAAATTTGGCATTTTGCTGAATTGCAGATTTTTTTCATTGTAACGGTCAATTTTGCAGAATTCTGTTGATCAGGGGCACATCTGATATTTTATTTAATAAAGAAACATCTTATCAGCCTACATATCATAACAAATTTCACTTTCTAAATTTCAAACTGTTTGGAAATAAATAAATAAAACTTTACATATTTCACTACCTTTTAAGGGGTCGTAACTTCTCTAGGAGGCCATAAATCAAAAAATTTTATATGAAGGACCCCTATTAAATGTGTTTAAATAATTGACCCTCAAATTTTTTGCACATTATTCGGGATCACCCTTTACATATATGTAGGTTTTATACACATTGAAATTTAGCCAAATGAGTTATAATTATTGCCAAAATATATTCGTACTTCAAACTTCAACCTACAAACAAAATTTTATGTTTTGCTATAGTTCTAAATTTATTTATACTACAACTAGTACAATCACAAATAAAATATAAAATATTTCCTTATCTCGTAAGAGAACAAATTTGGAGGTAAACTTAAACAGTAAAAAAGTCATTTTATTGGTATTGACCTGAACATCACTCAAATTTTTTCGTGAATGAATAGAGATCCCTTATTTATGGTTAACATCTGACATACACCTGTGGCGTCCGGCGTCTTTGCGTTTTCTCAAAAAATAAGGTATAAACTAATAAATAAGACATGACAGGATCCATTGTGCCTACATGCATTGCACTTTGCGAATACCTACAGAATAAACAGAACCATTTTTTATAGTTTTAGGACTGTAAATTACATAAATTCTAAGTAAATCTTGAGATTTATTGAATGATTATGCATCTCTCTTGGCTCAGTAGTTTTATCTTCCCACTAAACATTTTTCAGTTTCTGACATGTTTCAGAAATGTTTCCATTTTTCTTGAAACGTTTCATAAAAAATCCATGCAATGTTCTGGTAACGTTCTAGAAGCCCAATATGTCCTCCCCAAAATACGTTTCCAATGAAACGTTTCAAAAAATTGGTTTCAGTAACATTCTCTTTATGTTCCATTTATGCCCTCGATATTTTTGTTTTACGTTTCAGTATATTTTCAGAAATGTTTTAGTAACATAATAATTTTATTACCATATTGTTCTCATAATGCTCTCAACTTTAGATCATTTTCATTTCAAAAGCGTTTTTGAAATAGTATAAATAGTGAGTATTTTTTTAAATGTCTCTAATACTCTTTTGTAATATTTTTATTTGTATTGTGAACGACTTAATTCGAACTAAAATAAGTTACATTGTATATTTAAAAAAAAATAATTATGCGCTTATAGTTTGGGGATGCGGGACTTTTACCAAGGATTTCTTTCTTTTTGAGAAGCCACTGAAAAAAGTTTCTAATAGGATTCCGAATTTTGCCATTCATCGTACAAATATAAATGTCACAAAACAATATCAGAAGCATTTAAAAAAGCTACACATTTTATATTGTTTAAATACGCTTCTGAAATGGAAATTTTCTAATGTTGAGACCATCATGAATATTGTAACAATGACGAACTGATAATTAGAAAAAGTTATAGTTATGATTATGAATCTTGAAATGGTAGGTACATGAAAAACAAATAACATTACTGGAAAATAATATAAAGTTATAATTTCTTCAACGCATGGTCAATATTACATCTATCCTTTTAATAATAATAAATTATACAGCAGAAATAAGGATACAAAATGATATCTTGACAAAGTAAATATCTGTAGGTGTAGGTATACCTAAACTCTTTTATTTCAGCATGCCTATACACATTGTACAAAATATAAAATAAAAGACGTCTATTTCACTTAATTCATCCATATTTCAAATAGTTCTCACTGACTAAGTAGTTGCTCTTCAAATTTATATCGAAACGTATAGTTGCTGTTCCATTTTCTTAGTTCTTGTCCCTTGTTCTCTTGTCTGTAATAGGTAGTGGGTATAACTATATTTAGGTACCTAGATGTGATGCAAAATTGGAAATCTCTACACATATCATTTTAAACATTTTGCATCAATATTCATTATTTTATATGCACCTTACAATAACCACAACTGCACACACTACAAATTATCACATAAAATAGCGTCAAAGTAAAGATGAAGAACAACGAAACTAAGCAAACTGGCAAACTGCAAACCTAACCTAACATAATACGAATTGAAACAACACACGGGAAACAAATAAACTCGGGCTGTTACGCGCAGTCTACGCAAGTCACGAACATACATTTTTTCTAGACTTGTGTTATAAATATGTTACCACATTTTTTTTTCTAATTATGTTTTTGTATAACAAAGGCAAATGAACTAACGCTTGAGAGTGATTGGGGATTGAGAGCAAAATTTAACTAATGCCGAATGTTCCATAAGATAAGCAAAAATAGCAAAGGGTTGTTCGTCCGTTACATTTCTGAGATCGAAAGGGAATGGTTCAAACTCTCTTCAATTGTAACGTTTCGGCTATGTTTCACTAAATAAGTTTTCAAGTGCTACATTTCTGTAATGAAACAGAAACGTTTCTAGTTAATGTGTCAAATGTTTAGTAAAACATCTCATTTGAAACGATTTACGTTTCGTGTTTAGTGGGTTCGGTCCTTAAAGTTTTATATTTTGGATTTGTAGGTGTTAGAACTGTTTTATTTTAGATTTGGTGGTGGTTTATGTCTATAACAGTACCTGATTAATTTTATAAACGTATTTATTTTACGAGGAAAATCGCTCGTACACATTTTATATGAGAACACCCCGTACCGCTTTCCATCTACTTGCGATTTAGGCCGATCCGCTGCAATATTTCCCCGTGGCGTTGCATATTGGACACCGTCACGAAGGTTCCTCCGACGGCGACGGCGGCAGCAACTCAATGACAATTTCTGGCCTGGGACGGCCATCAATTTCGTACCCGTCACGGTCGGGCTCTTATTATGTATCTGGGACACAAAGGGACCCATTCCCGTTGCCATTTTCCGTAGCAAGTCCATCACAATCGGACGATTGTTCGTCCTTTGTGCATTGTTGTTTTTGTTGGGCGGTTCCTTAATTTCGTTCGACCTTCGTGTTTAATTTTTTTTTTGATAATGGTAGTGAAGGATTCCGAGGCGGATATGCACAGGAAGGCGCTACGCGACAGGGTGATCAAGGAGGGGTTGGAGCTGTGGAACAGGCAGAAGGAGTTCGAAAGGATCAAAAAGCTGAAGGAACAGAGAGAGGTAAAGCGCTTGTAGTGGATGTTTCACGGAAAGGCCCGTTTGAGAATACATTATTTTTTAAATATTGAAATGCTTATATGCATCATAGAATAAATATTAATATAAAAAATACATTTTGAAACGATAGTGCCAGAAGTATTGAATATGACCAGATTAAACTATTTTATTTTATTTTTTTTATTAGGTAAAATTCTTTTTAGAAATACAAATTTTTATGTTAATAATTCTACAAATAAAAAGTCATTCTTCGTCTGACGTAAACAATATTCTAACTACTTAAAGATGTAATTTTGACATAAGTGTACAGGGTCACTGATATACAGGGTGTCTCATAATTAGTGTCCAATAATTTACCACTTGATTCTATTGCTAAAAATAAGAATATTTTTTCATATAAACATTGGTCGAGAAATGCTTCCTAAGGGAGCTACGCCTCCATGATCGGGGCCTCAAAAAATTATTTTGTTTTAAATATTTCCGAAATGGGTTGAAGGAAAATTATGAATTTTGACTTTGCCCCAATTTTGTTGCTTGTCGAAATTTTCAAATTTAGGGGCCAAAATATGATAGACCTTCATTTCCTCTACAAAAAAGGTACTCTTTATTTCTTTCGATAAAATGCTCCATTTCCAAGAAAAACGGATTTAAGTGCTTAGAAAAGCACACTTTGGAAAGTGATATAACATATTTAAACCGATTTTTCTCGAAAACAAATAATTTTTTTGATATAAAACAACATTACCAATATTACCATTTTTAATAGAAAACTCAGATCTATCAGTTCTAAATTTGAAAATAGCAACGTAAAAAATTTGGGGCAAATTTTACCCGAGACTAGGGTTTCTGATTTCTCGGCCTACTTTTTTTCTCGGGGCTCGAGAATTCTCGACTAGGAATTCCCGGGAATTCTCGAATTCTCGAGAAATTTCCAAAACTTAAAAAGTCATAATTTTGGTATTGCAATGCGAAATATAAACATGCTATATAACAATCATCATTAACATTTATTATTTATTTAGTATTTTTATTAATTACTTATGTTTCTACTTCTACTAACAAAACTAAATTAAACTTTTGAGAAGATCTTCTTAAAAACCTTTAACTGTTTTTTTATTAAACACTTTCAGTATACTTATGTTTATTTCAATGTTTTTGAATCGTAGCTTTCTTCCAATAATTATTAATAATCATTAATCATGCAGTCTTTTAATTAAACAAATAGTAAATAAGGAATTTAACCGAAGAAATCTTAAAAAAAACAAGCTTTAATTTAAAGATACAGAAGCGTTCTTCCTATTAATTTATCTCTTATAATCACAATCCTTTAATTAACAAAACAAAAATAAAATAATCAACTAAAGGAACATGAACTAAATATTTTCAGAATCAGCATCGACATTAGGCTTATAATAAAATTTCTATACAGACTTATTACTAGGTGCATTAAAAAAATAAGAATCATCAAAGTAAACTAAAGCCTTAAAAACTTAAAATAAATAAATCATGAGCAAGTCGAGAAACCATTTTAACCGTTCAGTTATTTATCGAGAAACGAATTGAACGCATGAACGAAACGAACTCCAGTCAAGAACTTAAGACGTGCGTGATTTTTAAATTTCTCGATTTCTCGACAATTTTTTCTCGTCTCGAGTAAGGCCAGATTTCCCGGGAATTCTCGCTTCTAGAAGTCTCGACCAGAAACCCTACCCGAGACCCCCCCCCTGTTTGGGACGCCCATAACAAGGACTTTTCACGTTGTTTATTACAATGATGATATATCAAAATAAATAATGGTACATGTACCCATTCAAGAAATTTTTTTAAATTTTATTAATGTATGCAATGAAATGCTTAGATCCGTTTTTCTCGGAAATGGAGCATTTTATCGAAAGGAATAAAGAGTACCTTTTTTGTAGAGGAAATAAGGGTCTATCATATCTTTTCATCTGAATTTGAAAATTTCGACAAGTAAAAAAATTGGAGCAAATTTTAGCCGACGACCTCTCCAATTGAGATGCCCCTGACTAAAATTTTTGAAAAATTTTATGATGATTTATTTTCGACTTTTAATGAGCGTTCATGATGTCAAAATTCATAATTTTCCTTCAAACCATTTCGGAAATATTAAAAAAAATGAGGCCCCATTTAAGGGGGCGTAGCTCCCTTAGGAAGCATTTGTCGACCTATGATTGTATGAAAAAATATTCTAATTTTTGGCAATTGAATCAAGTGGTAAATTATTGAACACTAATTATGAGACATCCTGTATATGGAAACGGTCGATCATCTCCATATTATTCCATATTTCAATTCTTCTCAAAATTTTGAACAAGATTCATATAGCACGTCATGTACCTAAACTGACAGTTTTCGAGATATCGAACTTTGAAAGTAACTTTTTACTGCTTTGAAATTTGTAAAAGAAAAAGGGCCCCAAATTATGGATATTTATTTTGAAAATAACACAAGGTGGAGAATATAGATATGATTTAATTTTATTATTAATTTTTTACTGAAATAAAAAAGCATAATAGTTCAGGATTGATAAAAATCCATGAAACCAAAAAAAATATTTTTTAATTAATGTCTTGGATATTTTAAAATTTATGAAAACAATACTTATACCAGAATAAAAAAAGAGAAAACAAATTTTAATAAACAGCAAATATTTTCTTTGAAATTCTATTTTATAAGGTCAATGTGGATTTTGGTCTGACCAATACCTACAGTTGTGTCAGTTGACATTTTCGTTTAATTTATCCATAATAACTTCACAAAATTCGATTCTTCGATCATAATAGTCTTCACTCAATCCTTGTAACAGATGAATTTTATATGTATGTAATTTTTCCCGTTTGCAAAATTTTTTAATGGAATATCGATTTATGATTATGAAAATATCCACTACTTCGTCACAATTTCATCTTCTATCACCATATTCTATGATTATTAAAAAATGCCATTTTTGCGAGAAAATTATTAGTACTAAATGTATTTTTGACTTGTGTTGTCAAACTATTAGACAAAAGACAAAAGAACGACGCGGCGTTGTTATGAAGCTATAAACTTTCAAAGGTAACTTGATGAACTATAAACTAAATAAACTAAAATATGTTTGTATAAGTTATAAGAAAATGATTTTCGTTGTCTCGAAAACGGTTAATTTAGGTATATGATGTGCTATATGAATTTTGTTTAGAATTTCGAGAAGAATTGAAATATGGAATAATGTACAGGACGTTCCATTAAAGAAACAGCAACTTTGTTTCGTCGTGACTCTTTGACTGATCCTGACTGACTTATGTAATAGTTTTTAAAAAAATCCTAAAACGTTTGAGTCTTATGATTTTTCGACAGCTATCTTACTTTAGGAGATAATTGACCGTTCCCATACATGTTAGCGACCATTATAAAAACTTTTTACTGATCTAGTATTTCTAGATTCGCGAAATGCTGGACAGCTACTGGCCTTGGGGCAGGGGCATGGATTCCAAACCTAGAGGCCTGAGGAACCTTCGCCTCGAGGAATTATTCCCGAACAAGGATTACGAGAAAGTACGTCTCAGGTACCAAAACTTGACCTCATAAATTAACTTTGCGTTTTAAGGCGAAACGATTCGTGGGCACCCTGGATTCGGGAAGAGGCGGTGGGGGCGCGCCGATGTTCAACAGCGGGAAGAAGGTCACCAGGACGCGGGAAGATCCCATTCTGCGGTTCCAATTCGGAAGCAAGGATCTTAGGAGGTGCGTGGACAATACTTTGAGGTACAAGACCAGCAGAGAGAATCAAATGGAATATAAGAAAGAGTTAGGTGAGTCGTATGTATTATTTAATAATTTTATATTTGAACTTATATAAAAGTACATATAAAAGTTGATTTTAACAAAAATGTGCAGCGCAACGAATGAGGTGTTCTTTCATTTGAGAAATATTATCATTTAATTCTGGTAACATTTTTAGTTTCTGTTAATATAGTACCTACTACATTTTTAATACATTTTAAATTAGTAGTGCTTTATATAAAGTTTTCAGACATAATAGGTTTTTCGTTTACTTGTTATTTTGAAAAAGTTATTGTTTTAGACAAGCTTGTCGAGGAAAAGAAGCTGAAGGAGCAGAAGGAGAAGGCAGACACTAAGCTGTTCCACCAGGAGCAAGTAAGTCTATGTATATAACAAAGGAAAGTGTTATTTTAATGTTTTCATCAAGTTTTTAAAGCCTCCGCCATGGGGAGCACGTGGACCTGGTGGGATGCCCTGGCGAAATCCTAATGCGATAGGACTGAATTTTTTTAAATCATTGGTACGCTACACTACGTGTGTAGCTTGCTGAGCATACACATTTTTTCATCTCACCATTATGCTGCCATAAATAAAACATTTGAAGTTGCCGCAAACGTTAATCATGAGTTAGAGTTTTGAGTAAGATAAATTGCGCCAACTCTTCATGTTTTATTAGTATAACAGATTTTCATTTAAAAACTTGTGGCGATTACTCGACTGACCGCGAATCGGGTTTAGGGCTGGTCTGACCACGACACCATGAGGAGTATCGAGGAGGACGTGAAGCAAGATAAGTTACAAGACCCGCAGACATACGAGAACTCCAAGAAGATAAAGGTGATGCCTGCGAACAAAGTCAAAATCGATCCTATCGTGTTCCACAAGAAGAATTTTATTCCAGTTGGAAAAAATCGTAAACTCTCTCCCTTATCGAACAATAAGGACCAAGGAGTGGAGTTGGTGAACTTGTTGGCGAAGAATAGGAATTATCCTCCCAGGATTCCTTTGAGTAGCACCGATGTGACCGCAGATCAGAATATTACGGGGTCAGTAACTTGTCTTATGCCAAAATATCTGTTAATGATTGCGACACCTGTTTATTATTCTGCTGCAGCACTAAACTTGTATCATTTGCTCAAGATCATACGAAATATGCACACGTAGTAAATATTTTTAGGCATTCCTTAACCTTGCATTAACATATTGTCTGACGTTATTTATTTGTGGCATAGTTTTCGTTTTTTATTTTTTTGCGCATTTTAAAATTTAAAATATGAATGAAATAAACACTGGCGTCGAAAGGATCAATCAATTGTTATTTTTATGAGAATAGTTTTGCTAACCAAAAATCTTCTGAAATCTGAAAAATAGCGGACACTCAGTTGAGTATTTCGCGGTGTCTTGATCTGTAAATTGCAAGTAATCTGGGTAGACGTTCGATCGCATGGCTCGGTAGCTCCTTAGATTCTGCTTTGTTGGATCTCGCTGGCTGAATTCGAAACAGGTAAGAATTTTGTTGCGCGGAGCTCTTTTAATCAAAAGTGTGATAATTCTAACTCTACTTCGTATACGCGGCTTCTTGGTTGTTTCTGACTATCTCTGGTTGTCTCTAAATCAACGATTTCCAAGCTTTTTAGTTTGCGAACCGCGAATCGATGTAACATTTTTTGAGAATCGGTGATTGAAAAAAACTGCTCCAGATCATTTGCTAGTTGGGAATTCGAAAGTGAAGATTTTTCTCATACGACATAATTATTTTGAGAAAAACGCCACAATTTTTTTTCTTTTGTCAATATAAATTGTTTGAATGTTATAATTATTTTGTGATAACATCCTCCTGAATAAGCTTTCAGTTAGGACAAAATTTGAAAGGTTTTATTAGGAATTCCAATTTAATATAAAGAATTGGAGAACAATGAACACAATGGAGTATGATACAAAAATAATTTTTAATTTGGTTTATTTAAAATCAAAATTATTATCTCTGTAGTTGCAATTTCATTATTAGAATAGGTCGAATGGTATTGTATTTTTATTATGGTAAAGCGACCTAAGTATGACAATATGACATTTTAGTCAGGCACAGTACACCTGCAACGTTATAAATTAGCTCGGGTGCAAAAACGTACAAATATAAACATGTTTGAGCTAACTATACACTTTGGGGGAAAATAATTTAAAAAGCAGGGCAGAATTACTACATGCCGATCGATTGTTTTTATTTATTTTCAGCAAATCGTCTATTTGGAGCCGCGAGGGATCGTCTTATTTGAAGGAATTAACAAAACAAATGCATTCCAAACAAGAGAAATTGAAGGTAATGTTATTGAAGTTAATAAAATATTTCATATAGGGGCTCTAATATTTATTAAATTAAGTAGGTGTAATTAAAATAATTTTGTTTTCTCAGGAACAGAAAGAAAAGGAAATAGAATTTGTGCGCCGCCATTTTTCAACTTGGGACGCCTTCTGGGGTAGACCAGGACATGGGGCACCTCTACCAGAACTCAAGAAACAATCTTTGAATAGACTCCTCTACCCGCAGATGTTCCCTGTTGGTGTTCATTAGTCGTTTTCTCTCTCAGTACCAACATTGTAGCGCATTTACATTTATCATTTTCCTAATAACCTTTTCTACTGTTTGTTCATTGGAGATAGACTCATGTCATCATGATATTTGATGATTGCAATATTGTTTTGGGGAGTTTTTGTATCGTGATAACAGGAATTGCTATTGTAGCTGTAACTATTTTTAAGTGGAAGGACGATTGACGATGAAATAATCAGAGAAATATAAAAATACAGTTTTAGACGCTAAAGGTGAATATTGAATTCACTAAACTGAAATTTCAGGTGACGCTGTATTAAAATAAAACGAATTGTGGATGAATTCATCTTGGATGAATTATCCGTAATAATTCCCATTGTAAATGCGCTTTTAGATCCGCTATCTCTATCAAAAACAGAGGATGTTATTTCTAACATCAAATTTTCGATGAAGAAGACATTGGTATCGAATTTTTCACCTTTGATAATAATTGTTAGAAAAAAAGACACTATTCATTTCGCAGTTTTCGAAAGCAGAATTTTGCCAAAAGGCAATCATTATATCTGTAAAGTAATGCTGAAGCCCCGGAGCAGTTGCAGCTGCTTTTCACAGCTTGCATTTTGATTTTTTTAAGCAAAAAAAACTAGGAAAATCAGTTCTGAAAACCCACTGCTTCCATTACCATTAATAATAATATTCTTGTTGTATTTGCAAGTTACTGTTTTGCTGTATATTAGTTTTTATGTAACGTTATATCGTTGAGAAGTATAGATGTCTCAGATACAGCATATTCTGCGTTTCACAAGAAGACTAGGCATTTGGTATACCCTGACCTATTATAATCCAATGTAACGGTGGTCAGATATTTGGTGTAACAATACCAAAATCTTTAATATAAACTAATGCAAAAAAATTAAAGGGTCAAAAGTAATCCCAAAATTTTTCCACAAATAAGATCCACTTCTTATTTGTGGAAGGGCGAAATGGGCGGTGACTATTAGACGACTTCATTATAGCCATCTTTCTCTATCGCACGGATTTCTATGACTTTCTTTATCGCTCTCACGTAACGGCCGATGAACCATGGGGACTTTCCGACCCTGTATATCTTAATCCTTAAATGAATCGCTTTGAAGATACAATTTTTTTGTTAAACAAATAATTTTTCCTTCACAAAATTTTATAGCGCAATTTAATACTTATAAAACTACTCTAATAATTCTGTATTTCGGTTACCAATGCCGTAGATATTTGGGGTCATCATTTTCATCAAACAGTTTTTTTAGTTTTGTTAAAGAAATTCCAAAGTAAATAATGTAGAATATTAAATACTTTTTTACAGGGTGTTTCTGTCTTAAATGAATGTCACTATAGCAAAACTACGAAAAGTTGTTCGATTTAATTTTGTGAAATGCTTAGTTAGCTTGCTGAAACCCGAATTTTGCTATTTGCCTGAGACATAGACATTTATAAAAATCCTCTGGCATATCCGATCAGTATTATACTTGTATTATATACATTAACGGTTGTAATAAATATTATACTGCAGGAAATATGTTTGTTTTAAAAATTTACCTACACATACAAAGAAATTGTTATAAAAAAAATAATTATCGGTTGAAATTACGTATATTAGAACGTAGAAACGACGAAACAATACATAATCGGCTAGATCACATCGGCTGTGGAATTGCAGGGATGCTTAGATTTAACTGATTACGAACAAGGTAACAAAACAAAAGAAATTGCAGAACCTTTAGATTTTTGACAATGTATACCTGATAATGGCAAAAGTAGCGTTGTCCTGACTATAAATTTTGGCGGAATGCGTTCTAAATGAAATTAAAATAAAATCACCTCCACTTTTACTGTATTACTTAAATTTCCCTTATGAATATTCAATTTGTAACCCTAACTTTTTGAATATTCATTCAAAGAGTGGCTATTGTCTGGTGTCGCGGTTTTCATTATGCAAAAATTTAGTTTAGGCCAATTCAGTGGACAATATTATTTTTTTAATTGAAATAGGTACGCGATTTTTGCGAAATTTATATTCGCATTGGAAAATGAATAAAAGATCTTATCTTCTAGTCCATTTCACTCTCTGGTAGACTCTTAAATCGTCTGTTACGCAATTTGATTACTAATTCAGTCTAACCCATAATTATTCGCACACATAACAGTCAATCAGTTATCCGGTCTTTATATTTATAGTTAATTTCAGAGGAATAAGAGATTTTGATTTTTTAATTAATTTTTTATTTGATTTATATTTTTCTGATGTGTATACTTGTTAAAATATTAAATATATGTAACTACACAGTAGGTTCTATGTTTTAAAGTACAGGGTCTATGACTTTCTGAAAAGTTTTTCGACAATTCACCAGACTTTCCAAACGGGATCACGAAGCAGGAGAAAACCGAGGATGATGTCCCGAAGGACCCAGACCTCCGACGGTATGTAGGAAGTGCGCCGAGGAAAAAATGGAGAAATTCGCCTCACTTTCCAAAGTTTCTGCCACACGCCAAGAAACCGCTCCAAGTAGCCAAAAATACTTCATTGGCAGTCTATATCCCGGTCCAAATTTTGGAGGTCAAAAATTCTTCAAAATTGACAAAACTCGAACCTGGTGGAAATACTGTACTTACTACAAATCAATAGAGGCCAATCTAGTGGTTCAAAAAGTGGGAATGGGGCCGCACTAAACCGGACCGCGCCAGTAAGCCACCAGCGGAGATGCCCCCTGCCCGTGAACGTCGACCCTGGACATCGGCAGAAATATAACCAGGAGACGGATGTCTGGCCAGAGAGTGTACTCGACGATAGAGCTCTATTATTTCACATAAATTTAAACTTTTTTCAGTTATCAGAGCTTACTTATTATTTTCGTTATCAAATTTGACAAAAGTGGTTAATAGTTTTTTTTATTTCATATCTGATTACGCCATTGGAATATGCATACCTCATCAATTACGTTTGTACGAAATTTCTTGAAAAAATGTTCATTGATATGTTATTTATGAAAATAAATAATTTTTACTATTTCTAAACTGCATAAGCAATTCTGTAGTAGCCGTTTCTGCATGTCGATCTTTGTCAAAAGAGATGGTATATAGAACAATAAAAGTACAAGATGAATGATTACAAACTGTTGAACAATTTCAATATGTCAGATATGTATTTCTTGTATTAATTAAAATTTTAATATGTATAACAACAATAGAATACTTCCAGACAAATATTAAAAGATGCCTATAATATTTTTTGTTACAAACTTTAACACCTTGTATATCAATAGCGAGGGTTCCCTAGATAAACGTTTATATAACAACATATTCTCACATTTGGATGAGGAATTTTAATTTATTTTTACAATCCGATGTGCTACGTCCTATATATTCTTTGATAACAAATATCTAGGTAGATATGTTCAGAAAAACAACTCCATATGGATAAGTTAAAATCAAAAAAATTAAAGTACGCTTTCCAAATTGAATTAATGAAAAAAAAAACATATCCGTTTTAAGGAAAAAATTATATAATTTTTTTAAATATTGAAAGAATTACGCTTATATTCTTGTTCGTAGACATTTACTGACTGATGTTAATTTTATCAAGATTTCTAGAGATCGTAAAGTGAAAATTTCAGATACCAGCCCCTTATAGTCATACCGCTCTTTTCTCGACGTTGTTACCGCGCCTATATGTCTTATAACCTTGAAACGGACTATAGCCATCCTGTCTGAGTTGCCAAAATTGTTATTCGCTTGGGGTATACCGGCAGAGAAGAGTTCTCGTCATTAAAAATCAGGCAAGGTTTCATTTTCAGCTCGACGCTCAATGGAAAGTTGAAATTTCTCTTCTGCAGGTCCCTGACATACAAAATATTCAGCAAGGAGATGCTACCATCTTAAACTGATGGGCGTGCGTGAGTTTCTAGATGTGTTGTCTGTGTGTGTGTATGAGTATGATGACATTCTTGAAAAATTAAATTTTTCCGATGGGTGTAGCAGATGAAGGGTGCGGATGCCATCAAAATATGTATGTTGATAGTGTTTACTGTTTATAAAAGACATGTTAATTTAATTAACTAATGAAATAGGTACATTAGAATGAAAGAAAATAGTGTAACGAGTCTGGTAGATTGTTAAAAAATTATAAGAACCATATATACTTTTACATATTTGTCTGCGGTTCTGGGATTCTTGTCCCCTGTGGTCTTCACCGCAGGATTGTACAGTGCCTAGGTGGTTGAGGCTCCAGAACTAAGGTCTAGGTGGGAACAATATGTTCGTAACAATTTGTGGAAATGTTTAACAATGTCCTGAATTATAAAAAATTTGAATTTATTGAAAAATATAATGCAGCTTTAAATTTTGCGTCATAGTACACGTACTGGCCAGCTATCCGTTCCTGGTTGCTGAACTGCAAGTTACCAAGGTTGACGTTCGATCGCATTCCTTAACGAGTCCGTAGAGGTCCTGTACCGAAGCCCGCCTAAGGTTGGATAATTAGCATCTTCGGATTTTGCCCATTTTTGGATTGTAATCATCTGGAATGGGTGGTGGACTGACGTGGTACTGTAATTTTATATCGCGGTTCCCCGATTTTGTGATTTTCTTAGGCTTTTCTATTCCGAAATTCGAAACTGAGGTGAATTTTCTATTTCTGGAGCGCTTCGTTGGCAGTTTATTTAGTTTATGAAATTTGGTATCTTTTGCAAACGGAAATTTTAGCATCAAAGAACTTTATAGACTTCATTTGCTAAGATTTAAAAAAAAATGAGAATTAAACATGAATTATTTTTGAAGTAAAGTAAAACTATGTGAGCTAATAAAAAATCATGTCCTCCTAGAGTATCTTTATCGGACACTATTCTTCGTTTTATATTCTTTTTGATATCTACCTACTCAAAGTTGGTTGGTATACATTCTGGAAAAAATAAATACGACCTTTTCAGTAGAATATTAACATGTTTCTGTATGTGTCAAACTCTCATTTATGAATTTGTTGTTAAAATATAACCTCGTCCATAATAAAACTCATCTTTAAGATTATTTAAATCTTCGTCTCGATTACTGCAAATTAATTCTTTATAAAAAAACACTGATACCATGACACTGTTTATTTTAAATACACAAAAAATATACCCAATTCCCACATAACACTTACTCACAATTAAGTACTTGTTATATGCACTATTGTTACCAAAACATATATTATAATACCTTAATAGACCATTGTTGGTTATTATAATTAAGTGTATCGTTAACTACTCCGATTCCAATCTTAAAAAATTTTAAGTTTTCTCAAAAAAATACGTGATTTCTTTTTACAGATCAAAGTTTGAGCTCAAGCCAAACTAAACACCCTGCTACTTAGACAACTGAAACATTTTTGATAAATAAATTATCAAAACTGGTGTAACTTTGAGTTACACAAATTCCGAGTTGGTTGCTTCGCCGTCGGTTTAGATTTTTCGACATTTCAAGAGACATATTATATCGCTCTATTCTTTACAGAGGACTCCGAAACTAGAGATTCTGAGATCAGAGAGGAATTTATATTTGTTGTCCGTACTGGTCCTCTGTCGGTGCGGTTGTTAATTAATTCATCTGGATTGGCTTTTGTAGAATTAGCCAAAATTTTCTCTCTTACCAGAATTCTGATATTAGTTAGGTCTACCTAGAATATTGTATCTACTCTGTGACTCACAAATGCTGATTTTTCTAGATTGTTATTCTTCAAGTGATACTTGTACTTTTTAAATCTCGTACTGACGCGTATTCCCATATATCCAACGTACTATCCATATATACTTCTTCGAATGTCCTTGGGTGCTGTCTACACCGAGATTGTTCTAGCAACCAGTTTTGGGAAAGGTTATCTCTATCTTCCTCATATCCTAGATGGTATTAATATCGTGTTTACTTAAGATAAGTACTTATGGAAAGTAAGCCTATCTTGTTAGTATGTCTATCTTGTCGTCTAGTATATGGGACAGATAGGCTTGCAGTATATTTCTTCAGTATTCCTGTTAGTGCATCCAGAGCAGATCCTAGTTGTTGTAGCTCTTCATCCAAGTGTTCCAGATCTCAGATGGTATGTGTTCCATATAGTAATGTGCTGATAATACCTTGTTATCGGGTAATGATGAGACTTAGTGTACAGACATTTATTTGTGTTGGTTGGCTTTCTATAAACGCTGAACTCTAAGAAGGTGTTTTCTTTAACTTGGACATCTGGTAATGGCAGGGTACCATTCTTTTCCATCTCCATGATGAAGATCCGATATCCGGATGTATTCTATTGATGTGATTTAGAAATCCTTCTATATAATAACATAGAAGGTTTTCTGAACTACATAACTGAAATACAACGATATCCATAGAGTCAGATAATGGATGTATCTTTAATACATCTGAACCAATACTTCGGTTTTAGAGTTGTGACATCTCGTGCACAATTTTGTCAAGTCCACTAAATTCTCATCTTTTCCTTCTGCAATTAACCTTCGATGAAGTTTTTCCAGGAATATTTTCATTAGCACCATCGTACTAGGATATCATCTGGATCGAGTTCGATCTCTTGATCTTCTCAATAAAATCTCCACTGTATTTCACATGGTGTTCCTCCTATCCTACTAGATGTTCAATATGGCGTGACACTTACTGGACAGGTGGGTGAGTGGTTGATTCAAATGTACTCATTATCGGAGTGGAAGGAATAAAGTTGAGGTGCTCTTGAATCAGTCGAAATAAGGTCCTTATGTAGTTCCATGGAAATATTAGATGCTCGAATCGCAGATGTCACCTCCTTCTTATCTTCCCCTATGAGTTTGTTCTGGATCTTGTTATACATTGGATTATGTAGGAGCTCTTCCACGTTCGATTTGTCCTCTGCTTGTCAACTACGATGATTGTATTTTCTTTGTCGGCTGGGAGTATATTAATCTCTGAATTTTTCTTCACTTATTTGGTGGTTTAGACTTCTCTAAACATATTCAGATCGTAATACATGTGCTGTTTCAATACTTACGTCTTCCACAAAATACTGTATACACCGAGTCCTTGGAGTACATTCACAACACATCGCTCTTGAAGCTCATTTTCGAGATAATTTTTTCTACAATTAATAGTAAATAAGTTATAGAACAATGGATCTTCATCTGGGACATCCTGTATAACAATGCTCGAATTTTCAAGACAGTTCGGGTGCTCCTCACGCCTTGTACACCTTCTGACGGAGCCAAGAATGCGGGAAACGGGTCACCGCCGAAGATGCTGCCGCACGTCGCGCGATTTCCCGGTAAGGTTGCGATCTTCGTTGGTGAAATTCTCGTGGTATGGACTCGCAGCTCCTTAGTCTTCAACAGACGGTGCTCGTGGGTGCTAAGTGCTTTCTCCGGTTGTTGTTTGGATCCGCTATATCGCCAAGATGCGCTGGGTAATTTCTCTTATTCTATTGTTGTTGATTTTCATTGCAGTTTCGATTAATTAGTGTTCTAATGCGATAACTCTCACTTTGGATGGTTGCACATAAGGCAGTCAAAAGATGATACAGAGTAATTTTTTCCGCCAAGATTAAGTGGATGATCATGCAGTTTTCCACCAAATTAATTTTTTCATCGCTCACAAGAATTTGTTACTATTGCAGCGAAAAATATAGCAAATTAAAATTGAAAGATGTGACAGAGGAAAAGTTTGAGGAAAAGAAAGAAATTGGGATAACGGTGTATATTTAATCTATAATGTAAAAAATTTTCACAATCGGAAGTATTTTTAAATTTAAAGCACCTGAACCAACATCATTGGATGAAGTAGTATTAGTTGATCAGCCGTAAAAAAAATTGAGTTCTGAGAAACATTTGCAACATTTATTCAAATTATTATATAAATGCAGTGGCAAATTTATTGGTTTAAAACTAGTGTTTACTTGTTCATATCATATACTTATTTGAATTACAGAAATATAAAATAAAGGATTGTTGAAAATAAAGTACGTAGATAAACCTGCATTGATGCAAGATATAGTAGGGGGTATACCTAGATACTGGTGAATAAAATACGAAAGAAGAATACATAGTTCTTTTAGTTTGCTTCGAATTTATATTTAAGCTAAATTTTATTATTAAATAATTTAAAAGGTGTATGTGATTTGTAAATTATCTGTTTCATTGTACAAACTTTGGCAAAGAAAGTCTTAAATTTAGAATATAATTTACATATCTATGTTGAAAACTATTGACAATAATTGGATATCAATTTTTTGGAAAATTTTTGCAGAATTACATTATTCATGATGATATTTTTAAAATTACTATTTCGACAACCAATTAATGTTCATATAAACTGAATTTCCATGTTTTGCCACACACATTTTTCAGTATTGATTGTATTTACTCTGAACAATGATTATTTTTGGAAACCTTTCATTAGAAGTATTATAATTAGCTTTTCGTGAAATTTTTGCATAATTCGATACTAACTTTGAATTCTAGTATTTATTTAAGGGTAACTTTTATCAAGATTAAATTGTTTTTGAGAGATATAGTTTTTTTTAAATATTTTTAATTTTGGATCATAGTACTAAAAGGTTGTGAGTTCTTCTATCTATATTGTCGATAATCAAGTATTTTTTGGTTAATTTATTTACAAATTTGTCAAAAAAGTGAAGTTTATTTACACTAAAAATGACTATTTTAACTTTAGAACATTTAAATCTAATTTTCCTTGAAGAAGAGCATTTTGAAGGTATGTAACAACTATTCCTTTTTTGTAGTAAATAAAGAGATACTTCAAAAACCATTCGTGCTTTTTTAAAATCTCTGCAAACAAAAAAATGATTAAGAAGAGAAAAGAAAATATAGTACTTCATTAAAACAATAAAAAAATAAATAATTTCTTGTTGAATAAAATGTTTTTTACTTAATATAAAATAAAGTTTCAAAACGTTTTTGACGGAATTTTAACGGCTTGTGTTTTTTTATTCTCCAGATTTAAATATGTACACCAGCGATTTTTCGGAAATTATCTAGGTTTGTTACAAAAGTTGCTTAGAATTTCCAAAGTTCCTTTTATAAAAAATCATACAAATATGAAAAACAGTATTAATTGTTTCTTTTAAATACACTACACAATATTTTTCATAAAACAGATATTCCCTTTGGTCCTCGAAACATCCAGCTGGGAAGTATTAATTGAAACACACAGTATATTTTTTACATGCATGTTTAATAAAATAGTTGAAAAATTGTGTTAATTTTTTATCCGAAACCTTCATTTATTAGAACTGAGGGCAAATCGCAAAAGTTCGACATTAATTGATAAGAAATTCAATGAATATAAGAAAAAATAATTAAATTAGTGAAATAAATAAAAATTACTTAATATACGAACAGGATTTGCAATTTTGTGGTTATTATTTTTTCCAAATATATGATGTTTTAGAACATAGGGAACTAGGTTTCTTTTTTAAAAAATATTTTATTTTCATTTATTTTTTACTTATGTTAATGTAGAGATGGGCAATGGTAACATTTCCGTCCCGGAAAGTTTCCAAAACGGAAATTTTCCGGGAAGAAATAATCGAAGCTTGAGAAATTTTCCGTGAAAAGTTTCTGAAAAAATTTCCGTCGGAAATTTTCCGGGAATATTTCTAACAATTTGTAAACTTGGAGCCAATTTTATATCTAACTTCTATGAACATACACAAAAAATCGTTGGTTAATTTCGCATTTTCGGTTTATTCGGAATACCAGAAGACCATATTATCCAAATAAGTTAGAAAATACTTACACTTACTTATTTTAATCTTTATTAAGCCTACAATCTACATAATAGAGAGCAATACAAGACTCATAACTTGCCTCCTTTTCAAATTTAATATGAATTTTGATAGTTGAACCAAAGTACAATTACATTTTAAAACTAGTATAATTATTTAATGTATTTACTATTTGTTTGTTAAAAAATAAAGATAAATATTGTATACTGTATAGTGTTTACGCACTGTAACCCTCAGCATGTAATTTTTTCTAACGGATGATTAACACATAATTTATATTTTTCCAATATTTACACCAATATAAATAAAAATGCATATAAGTATTTGGTCTTTTTGGAAAGCTGATGGTATGTAGAACACAATGCCAAATCCAAAAAAAAAATCTGAAATTTTCGGAAAATTTCCGGAATTTTCAATGGAAACTTTCCAGGAATTTTCATAGTTTGGGAATTTTCCCATCTCTATGTTAATGTCTACCTTGTCTACCTATGCATTGAAGTTCCCAATCGTGTCTAATTGTTTATATCGATTTGTAATGTTGTTGTAATGTTGTTTGATAAGTAATTTTCAGTGTTTCCTATTTCATTTTCATGTAAAATGTTTACGCATTGCAGAAATTCTTTCGAATTCCGATCTATAGTTCCTTATGAATGTCACATGGTTTCACATTCCCTGCTATTGTTATTATCACGGATCATTATTGCAAAGGCGCGTAAACTCATGGAAATAGCTTTCTATTTCATTAACATTTTTCTGGCTTTTCCACGCGACGTTGATTCGGTTTGTTTGTACGGTAACAAAATTCTTTTAGGAATTACAGAATTTATAATGCTATATACGTAAAGCGAAACTGGTATATTATGGAGACAGAGAAAAGCTATCTTCGTTGCGCAATATTCGTCTATTAGATAATGTTAGATCGAGAACGGAAATCGTCTCCGACAAATTGTGAAACTATTTAAAAATGTGATATGAAATCTAGAATTCAAGATGCTTATCTTTCGCGAATGTTACTAGTCAGGCGAGGTAATGGTTCCTTATTAGTGGCGACTACGCCATTTTTTGAACGCTGATATACAGGGTGTCCCGAAATTAACCTGCAAAACAAAAAAAATTGTAACGATTGCAGTTTTAGGAAGTTTTCTTTCGATCTTAAAGAGATACAGAGTGTAACCAAACTCGTGTTTTTTAAATGGAACTTCTCATATACTTGTCGCTTTTTGGAATATCTTCTTTTTTTACAGTTTTACAGTGTACGTACCTGTTAACATTTTTGCTTTGACAGTTTGCGCAATACCTTGGTTTATTTACTTAACCCTCCACAATGGATTATGACAAGATTGGCATGGGACCAATGCATGTCAGTATGAGTTTATGTTTTTCCCCTATTTTTACTAAACACATCGTTATATAATATTTATTAAAACAAATGTTACATATACTATAAATGGTGTTTTACAATAACTCTGTTGCATTCTGAACAGCAACCATTCATGTAGTTATTATGTGGAAGATTCTGAAAGATAAAGCAAACAAAGAACGATATAACAATTTTTGTGATCTAGGGGAGAAAATATTGAACAAAGAACAGAAGAATCCAAAAGAATAACAAATATACAGAGTATTCAGGGAGATTATACCTAAAAACTATTGATTGTGTTGGTGCGAATCTAATGATAGACATTTTGAATAATTACTATTGTAGATTTTTCAAATAATTTTAGATTTTCTTTCTATCTTTTAAATAATTATATTAGTATCAATATGCTTTATATGATGCTACTTCTATTTTTTATTGATAACAAGTAACTTGGAAATTATACGATTTAAATGTACTAATTCTTTATCAAAGTAGGCTTTGAATTCAATGGAAAATTAAAAAATAAATGTTGTATTTGAAAAATGAGATTAAATAACGCTTAGAAGAAATAAAATTCTGTGTAATCAAAAATTATTTTAATATGTGAAGAACTAGTTTCATAAAATTTCTATTTGAAACAATTTTTGCATTATTGATATGTGTTACCATCTGTGGAAGAATCCGTAATAAGTTGAACATTAATTTTGTTAATTTAAATATTTCTTAATGCATTATCTACTCTAATGAACGAATATTTCGAGGAATCGTAATAATCATCAAAAAACATTCATTATAAATTGCTTTGACAGCTTAATCTATTTAAATTCTATGGAAGCAGTAACAGATTTTATCCAGTTTTCTGTTTGACAGAAAATTATTTACTTTCTGATTTTGCCTGTTTCAAAAATTATTTCAAGAACAATTTTTGAAGGATCATAGAATCGTTTCTTTTGTTTCTTTTTTTTTTTATTTGTTTTGATGAGTGGAATTAGCTCAGAAAGTGTAAGTATTTTCAATTTCGTATATTTCGGAGGTTGAAATAAGTGATTTCCGAAATGATTAAAATTACAAATGTAATTTAGAAATTAATGATTTTTTTTTAAGTGAACTAGTTTGTGTCATAAAAAAAATTTCTTAGGTTTGTCACTGCTATGAAGAAGAATTATGTTTGCACAATATTATGAGATATGCCATCGAGATATCGGCTTGTGAAGTTCTAAACAGAACACCCTGTACCTAGAAGTAAAATGGACAGGGTGACCTAAATAACTAACTTAATATTAACGAAGAACAATTTTTT